AAATATAATTACTAGCTTACTAAACTAAAAATTTCGTGCCTGGTATAAGTGCTAAAAAAAATTAAGCATATTATTAAAGCAGCAGATTTTTTAGTAATTATTTATATAAATCATGGCTTAATAATTAATATTATATACTAAAAATTTATATTAATAGTCTTGCTAAAAAAAATAAACTAAAAACTTATACATGCTTTTTAATATACCTAATAATTTTATTTATAAATTTTCTACCGGCCAGGCAAGACAAACACCATTATTAATATATTATTTTATTTAAAAAAACCATTTTTTTTTACTAATAATTAGTTTAACCTAGACTATTTATAGTTAAATTAAGAATACGCATATACTATATTATGCCTTAAAATCTTAAATAAGTTTAAATAGTAGGTAAAAAATACTTATCCTAACAACGCTAAAGCAAGCCTTATTTTAAAGGTATTATATAAATTTAAGAATTTTTTTTTCCCTGCCGCGGACCTACCTTATAAAAAAAAATAGCTTTTTATACATGCTAAAGTAAAGGATAACTTTACATACTAACATGTTTATATATTTTAATTTACTTAACTAAAAAGCTTTTAATAATTAAAAATACTAGCTTTACCTTTTTTACTTTATATTATTATAATTTTTTAAGCTAATTTATAATTATAACAGTTACCAAGGCATGAATAAATACTTAAAAAGTATACATGGTTTTATAGTATATAAAGCTTATAGTTTTTTTTATAATTATATTATATATTACTTAATATATTTAAAAAATAAACCTTATTACTATTAACCACTAGGCTACCTATAGCTAATAATACTACTTTTTATTTTATTTTATATTATTATAATTAATTTTATTATACAACTTTCTTTAGTTAAGGATAAAAATTAACTTTTTATTATATATAATAAATATATAAAATATATTAGCTTACTACCCGGAACCTTTACATGGAAATTTAATAAATAAGGTTATAAACTAGTGCGCTACTTTTAAGTATATAATTAGTTTATATTTAAGATTTTTATTTTTAATAAAGATTTTAGGTTTATAAGTAAATTTTAAAAAAAAATGTTAAAAGCTATAAATACCTACTAATTATATTTAATAGCTTTTTATCCTTAAATAAATAGCTAGACTAAATAGGCTATTTAAATAGTTAAGATTATGCTACGCTATATAATAACTATTTTTTTAAATATAAACTAGATTAATATGCTCCTGCTAATTATAACTATTATTAATAAATTTATTTTTACTATAATATAGCACACTTTTTAAAAGTTATTATTTAGCTTAAATTTTTAATACTTATAAAACCTTTTTAAGTATATCTAGCCCCAAGACTTTAGCGCATGTTTTAATATTAAAAAAGCTTTAAAATATACTTTAATATTTATAAAAGCTTATTATAATAAGAACCGCCAGCTAGTAAATTTATAAAAAGGTAATTTTACTTACCTTTACTTATATAAAAAATATACCCTACTAGTTACCCACTTATAAAAATATTTTATAAAGTTCTTTTTTTAATATACTAGCCCTTTTTAAGTTATTAAGCGTGTTGGCCGCCTATTATACTTAATAAATTTTCCTACCTTTTAAAAAATTTATTTAGTTATGTTAATAGCATAGCTAAAACTAATTAAGCCTAATTTTTTTACTAGGGAATACTATTATTTCCCTGTAATACTAAATAAATAATTCCCTAAGAATATAAATTAATAAAAAATTAATAAAATACTAGTAAAGTATATTATATCACGTGGCTATTATAAAACTCCTATAATATAATACCTTATAAAATAAAAAAGGTATAATACAAGTAATAACTAATAAAAGCCCCGGAAGAACCTTAATAGTATAAAAGATTTTATACTTAAGTTTAAATTAAGACTATAACTATATATTAAAAAACCTTTAAATAAGAAAGATCTTGCAGGAGATACACCTGTTTAGGTATTTTTTTATTTTTTTTTTTTTACCTTTTTTTATTTTTACCCCGCCCCCTAAGTTTTATTATTATTTTATATTTAAGCATAGCCACTTTATAATAAAAAATTTACCTTACTTATAATATAATACCCCTTTATTATTTATCTTACTTTTTACCTTTATTACGCTCTGCCTTTTTATTTTTTTTTATTTTTTAAACTTTTTTACTTCCTATTTTTTGTTTACAAGGGCTCTTTTATTTTTTATATTTATTTAATATCCTTTTTATTAAGCTTACCATGGTAAATAAAGAAGAAAGTTTTGCTATGGGTCCATTTAATTTAAATAATACCCCCTTAAATAAAAAGAAGATAAAGACTTAAAAAACTATTTATAAGCTTAAGTAATAAATTAAGTTTTTTAAAAATAATAAAGCCCTGTTTACCATAAACTAAAAAAAAATTATAAATTATTTTAAGGCCCATGTTAAAAAACTTAAAATAATAAATAATAATAATATTATTACCTAGTTTAAAGGCATAGCTAATAATTTACTTTAGCTAAACCAGGCTAAAAAAATAAATATAAAAATATTTTAGGTAGCAAACCCGCTATATAACTTAAAATTTTTTAAAAAAAGTTAATTATAAAAATAAACTTTAAAAAACACATGCACTGTTCTAAATTTTTTATTTAAATTAATAATAAGTATTTTTAAAATAAACTTAATAATATATTATAGTTTAAATAGTTTTTTATATTTATTTACTTATAATACTATACTTTTATTATTAAGAAAACTAGAATGCTAATTAATCCTGCACTAGTTAGGCTAATTTTAAGCATATTAAATATTAATAAAATTACTAAAGTTTTAGTTAATATTTTTAGTAATTACACCCTACTTATATATAAAGTAACCAGGACTAACCCACGTGCGGGTAAAAAATATATTTTAAAGCCTATTATACCCTAGTTAAAAAAAAAGGGTGCTATTTAGTATATTATAATAAGTAATAATTAAACTTTTATTTTTAAGGGTAATATTAAATAATATCCTAGCTTTATATAGTTTAATAATAAAAGTTATTATAAAAAGTTTTAAGAACTAGCTAATAACACCCGCTTAAAATATAGTAAAAAATACCTATTTTTTTTAACCACTTTTAAACTAGTTAACCAAAAGTAAATACAGGCTAAAAAACTCTAGGAATTTAAGTTAATTATTAAACTTTATAAAAACCCCCTTACTTACTAGCTTAAAGGCATAACTATAAAGGAAGTTACTGCCTTAGGCTTTAAAAAGCTAATTATTATTATTAAAAAAATTATTTTTAATATAATGCGTGTGCTTATTATAATAAATATAGCTTTTATATAAAAAAAGTTTAAGAACCTAGTAAATAATATTAAAGCTTAAATAAAGGCCGCCAAGGTTATTAAGTTTTTTAATAAAAAATATAGTAAGTAAAAAATAAAGCACTCACGCGTAATATCCCTGAATAGTTTTAATATTTTAAAGTATTTTATATTAAAATATTTATGCAAGTAATTCGTGCAGTACCTTAAGATAAAGGTAAATAAAAATACCTAGTAGGTGTTATAAAAAAATCTAGATTTTAAGTATTTTAGTATCCCACTCCCGTAATTCACGGATAATGCTATTAATAATATTCTTATTTATAAAAGCTACATAAACAACCTAGGCTTTGCGTTTAAAGAAATTAAGTAAAAAGATTAAAAAAACTAGGATAATCTAGTATTAGGGATAATACTATTTTTTTTAACAAGGGGATTTATTATATTTGCTTGGGTTCTTACTTGCTTGCTTGGTTTTTTTAGCTTAGTTATTACTAACTTACCTGTATCTACATCTTAGCTTCCAAGATAGCCACTTAATAGGATCAACTTACTATCTTGTTATATTGCCTTCCTCTGGCTTGACATCTAGACCTCCCCAAGGAATATAAAAAAAGGTAAAAAAATAAAGCTATTTATAAATATATATTTTACTAAGGTAATAAGCTTGCGCTAAAATATAAAGTTAATAAAAAGTAAAATACTTAAATAATATATATAAATACTTTTTACATGCTTTTTTTAATTAATTTAAAAGCTAGTTTTATTTATATTATAAATATTTATTATTATAAGCCTATATAATTTAATTAAGTTATTATATAGGCTTATTTACTAGTAAATATTATTTATATTTTTAAATTATACTCTTTAAAGTTTTTTAAATAATTTATATATTTTAAAAAACTTTAAATAATATTTTATAAAGTATTTAGCCTAGTTATTATTAAGTAGTTTAAGTAGCTTTTTTAAATTAAAATAATTAAGGCAAAAAATATTATATATAGTATATTTAATTTAAGTATTATTAAAAAAGGTATAAAGGTTATTAAATTATTTAATATAATTTAATTTTTTTTTTCTTGCGTGTTACTAAGCCTTTTATTTATTTTTTTAATATATAATATAAGGTTTTTTTTTAAATTTTTTTATAGGTGTTAATAATTAATATTAAATATTTTTATAATTTTAGTAAGGTTTAGGTTAAAGTTTTTTAACTTTAAGAATATATAATAAAAGTATGCTTTTTAAAAATTATTTTTATTTTTATTAAGGCCTGCTATTATAAAAGTTAGCTAAAATATAATTATTTAAAAATTTACTTTAAAATTAAAAATAAAGTTTTTTATTACTACTAGATTTTTATTAAAAGTTAGATAACCCACTGCCACGGACGCGGCAGTGGGGCATCAGTAGTAACCAGTATCCCAATCTTACACGATCCAGTATATGCCTAAGGCATACATGTTTCATGTTGCACCAAAACTTTTGGTGCACATTTAGATGCACTAACCTTGCTAGGTATAGTATCACTCCCTACATCTGAAGCAAATACCAATGCCGCCATGGAGACCAACTGAGAAAACAGCAACCGCTGTCATCCACAGTAGCAACACTGCACACACTGCGATATTCTACCATACAGTCTAAACCTCGGCCCAGTCTACAACATTGTCTCTAGGGATATAGCAATTCATATTTCCCCATGAAGCCAAGTAAAAATCAGCTAAGAAGGGCCCGAAAGAAGGCATTAAAGTCCCAGGTATGCCTTCTCGCCATCTTCTCGCACAAACAAACTGACAACCATTCTCTCAAGGGCAGCGAGCCAGGGGCCAGTGCTTCTGATACACAACATGAAGATGTTCCACTGCCGCCCCCCGAGGCAAACGGTTTTGACACACTACACATCATCCCACTTGACCCCGAAGACCCTCTATGGCAAATGTACAGGGACATAGCCACCAAGTTTGACGAGGTCGAGGACACGAAGCCGGAAGTTGAGCCGCCTAAGCCTGAGGTCTATTTCGACGACGACGCCGACATTCCCGATGAAGTGGAGGACAAAGCTCCCACTCTGTCAAAACGGAAACGCAAGGAACTAAACAAGCTTTCTGTTGCTGAGCTAAAAGCCATGGTCCGGAAGCCCGAGTTGGTGGAGTGGACAGATACCTCAGCTCCGGATCCGCGGCTTCTGGTCCATATAAAGGCGCATCGAAATGTTGTCCCCGTGCCGTCTCACTGGTCTTTGAAGCGGGAATATCTATCATCCAAAAGAGGCATCGAGAAGGCGCCTTTCTCGTTACCCAAATTTATCCAAGAGACAGGAATATCTGAAATGCGCGATGCTGCACTAGAAAAGCAAGAACAAGCAACACTCAAGCAAAAGCAAAGGGAGCGGGTACAGCCCAAAATGGGACGACTAGATATTGACTATCAGAAGTTATATGAGGCTTTTTTTCGCTTCCAGACCAAGCCGGAGTTGACTCGGTACGGCGAAGTCTATTATGAGGGGAAGGAATTTGAGACAAATCAGCGACATTTACGCCCCGGGGAACTAAGCTCAGAGCTGAAGGAGGCTCTTAATATGCCCGCCGGTGCCCCCCCACCTTGGCTGATAAACCAACAACGATATGGGCCCCCTCCTTCCTATCCAGCCTTAAAGATACCGGGTCTTAATGCCCCCCCACCCCCGGGAGCTATGTGGGGTTATCATCCTGGCGGATATGGGAAGCCGCCAGTCGATGAACACAATCGACCCCTATATGGAGGCGACATTTTTGGTGTGCTGCAACCCCAGCAAACCATGCAACAGGGTGAACCTGTTGAAAGAGATCTCTGGGGGGAATTGCAAGAACCCGAGTTATCTGACGAGGAGAGCGAAGACGAAGAGGAAGAAATAGATGAAGAGGATATAGACACGGGATTACAAACACCCAGCGGGCTGGAAAGCCCAAGTGGTCTGGTGTCCGCCGTCCCATCAGAGCTGACAGGTATTGGTAACGTATCCGGAGAGTTCGATGTGCGCAAGCACTATCATGGGACACAGACCGAGGAGTCAGTCGGCCATCGAAGTGCGTTTCATGTTATTCCCGAGAAGCAAACTCAGGTGCATGGGTTTTTTGGTGGTGATAGGGCGTATGATCTGCGTCCAACTCCGGATAGCTTGCCTGTGCTTGGGGCAGACGACCAGACTCGAAAGCGCAAGAACCCAGGAGATGTTGATGTTTCCGTGGACCCGGATGACATGCAAAGTGGCGATGGAATCGGCAAAGACAATCTCCAAAGACTCTACGAATCACAGAGACAGCAGGAAAACAACCCGAATTGGGAGTTCCAGGAAGATCTTAGCGATATGATTGCCCATGAGAGCAGGAAGAGATTGAAACAGGAAAGGCGAAACAAACACTGAGGTATATGGCAAGCGTCCCAATGACTCATGTTTCGTGAGAACCCCGTCCAACACCTCCAGAAATGTCTTTTTGAGACACAGGCTATCGCTGCGCTAACATTGCTTTCGGCCGGCCTTATCTTTTCGCAGCTTTACTTGCGCCGTTTAATAGGCTTAACTCAAAGACCATCTCCCGATGCCAACGGGAAGTTTGAATGGCACATTTTCTTTTGATTCTTTCCGTTCTTCTCAATGCATGCGATCATTACCCAAAGCCGCTGTAGGTTCGTGTGCTGCCTAAAATTCCTCTACGACTCGTCTGTAGACAACCCCAATAACATCCAAGGATGTTATACCACGCATCAAGTGCCTCTTTATCTTGACCACATGACTGCCATGATATCTGTTGAGCGCTGCGGTAGTGCCCCTTGTAACCTGATGCCCACTAACTCGAAAGGCATTCTATTCTTTCACCTTGCTGCCAGTAGAGATTTGGAGATAGATATGCGCCTATTTCACCACGCATTCTTGTCACTTGGAGCTACTGACGACAAAGTGCCAATCAAACTCCTCACAATTGTTACATATGCCGATATTCGCCCTACCGTGCCATCCCAACTTGGCTGATAACTGCCATAGCTTGGAGGATAATGCGAGTGCGAGATAGGCCGACTTATGGCAGGCTTGCCCTTTGCATCAATTGCGATACGGCAGGATCTTTAGAGGCATCTTTTCATTCTCGATGCTATAATTCATCACAACCGCAAGTATACTAGGCATTAGATCTTATAAGTGAACTTGGTAACGTGCCTTGCCTCTGGACTGGGGCCTGAGAATACTAGGTAACCCTCCACCTGCAGACATTGCAGGGAGCGGCTACGGCAGAGCTTGACTAGGTACTGAAAGAGGCATAGAAAACCGTGACGGTACCAAGAAGTAGGGTTAGGCTGAAGTCTGAAGTCACATGGCGATTGGCGCCGTGCTGGACCTACATAAACAAGATCCACCTGTCTTTGTATCCAACTATCCATGCTGCAGACTGTGACCGTACAAATTGGCCAGCAAACATGTTGACTTAGATTATTCACAGGCTAAGGGAGTACATTTACATACATCCATTATATGTTGTTAGGTCAAAGGTCTCTACTCCGTAGATATCGGTATGTCTTTTGCCCATCAACTCCTTCGGAGTGTATTGAAATTGTTCAATTCAATCGTTGAGTCATACATTGTCGTAACCTACACTATCATCTCTGACTGGCTGCTATAGGCAGGCAATCTTTGCCGCTAATTCCTGACATAATCCCAATTGAGTCATGAGCCATACTGTAAGTGTAAATTAGCTGTTGACTACTATTTAGTATTTACTAGCTGTACTCTGGAGGTGCAGTCTGCAGTTACCCAGACCCTTAACTCTGGAGGGGGTGGAGGCCTGATTGATTACTTGAACTCGAGACTCCAGGGCAGACAATCTGACTCTTATCCACGGCTTTCAGCCCAACCAGTCGAGCGCACCCATTGGTGGGTTCGCAGTCATTCCTCAGTCGGGCGCTCAGACAGCCAACCGTACTCCGTAAAGCCAACCCTTTCTAAAATAAATTGACAATTGTGAATGCTGCGAATCATCCCCCGCCCCTTCCCGTGACAACTGTCGTCATGTGGTAGATCATCCAACCCCTCCTGCGATCACACGCTCATCCATGGATAAACAGAAATGGTTTCTGGATATAAGACGAGATGCTCCCCCCAACTCGACAAGTAAGTCATATGGCGCTTGCTATCTGCCTGCAATATCCAATTGATGCCGCGTGAAAGGAATTGGCCTTGCTGCTTCTACAGCCACGCGCCAAACCCCGCAGTCTCGTGAACGTCCATTGTACAGTAACAATCCATAGAACCTCAGCCCCATCCGCCCATCACCAACGCATTGACTCATAGCCCCGTATCTTTAGCCAGAGCCTTCCCAGGGGCGCCTTGATTATTCTTTCTCAGATCCATGGGCTCATATAAGTTGTTGGGGATTCCCGGTCGCTGTGACTCTTATCGCCGAGACTAGTCATCACTCCGGGAGCACTTGCTGCCTGTCGCCACAGGACAAAGAGCGTGACAAATCACCTTCACGTGTGCTCAGCGAGTATTGCTATATCATTTGTTCCATTGACTTCTATAAACATCACTCTATCGCCAACACCTCCAAGCCTTTTGATCCCTAGGCCACACTATATAACCGCACGGTCGCCAGCGACAATCCCCTGGACCCATTTCTCACCACACTTTGCTCGTTTCACGACGCGCTATATCCCACGTCTTTGGAGTTTCCCTGAGATGACATCCTTGCCTGCAGCCTCATCACTGGTATCAAGTGACAAGCCAAACATGGGTCGTATACCTCCGGTGTCCAGCCTCATGTCCCCCCCAGAGTCCAAACCGTTCGAGTCATTTAACTCCTCATTTCCACCTCACAGAGTATCGCAGGACCAACTGTTATCTCATGAAATGCACCTCGCACCCATTTCAGGTAACCGAAAACGAACACAGTCCGAGATGGATCTACCATCGCCACCCGTGACTCCGTACACTGGGAATCATAAGAAAAGCAAGTCTATTGACCCAGAGCAACCCGAAGGAGATGCCTTGGCCGTGTCAAGAGACCCTGTCCTTTTTTCAGCGCATGAATCCCTACCTGAACTTGCCAGTTATGAGCCGCTAATTGGCCCCATGCCGCCGCCATCCCCAGAAGCGGTCATGGAGCACATTGAATCTCACATGGCAAGATTCGACAATAAACTCAATAAACCAACGCGCGCTGAGTATTTCCTGGCTCTTTCTTGTGTACCGGTCGTATGCGCTCAATATAATCGGAATCCAGCCGCATGGGCCAAAGAGGAAAGAAATATCCTTGAGCGTCAGTTGGTCATGATGAACAGACATCGCCCAGATGTCTCAGAAGATGGCAGATTGAAAAGAATCGCGCCAGCGCCAACAAAGAGGGTTGTTCCTGCTCAAACCCGTGTGCAGCGGACACCCAGAGTTAAGCGCACACCAAAGCCCACCCCAAAGCAAAAGGCTCTGGATACATTTGAAGTATACACGCCAAATTCCAAGCCTTCTCGTGCCATTGGCACTAGCAGGGATGACACAGATTATAGCTCCATTCAAGATTATTCGCCCTCCCTAGAAGTTCTCGGCAGCAATGCGAAAGCGTTGAAGGCCGATTGGAAAGGCCAGATGTTGGACCTGAGTAATGACCCGGAGCGGGAACTGTTGATTCCAGCTGAGATAAACCTAGCTGCTACGCTAAGGCTTTCTTGTGCCACCTATCTTTGCAGCAAGCGCCGCATTTTCGAGGCTCGCGTCAAAGCCTTGAGAGTCGGCAAAGAATTCCGCAAGACGGATGCACAACAGGCTTGCAAAATTGACGTGAATAAAGCAAGCAAGCTCTGGACTGCCTATGAACGTGTTGGTCTTTTCAACCCTGCATACTTCCACCAGTATCTTGATTGAGCGATGCAATGTCACACTGCAGAGATAGTTCCTGGAACTTCCATTTTTCACCTGCTGTTCTTCTTGGGTGATTGGTTAGCGACTTGGCTTCACGATTGTATCCAGCACATGATTCTTCATCCTTGCTTTTTTGCAATCATATCACTGCATACCAGGGTCTGGGTTTACCCCACCTCACTCCCCCAACTCCTAGTCTTTTTGAATCAGTAAGCACGGCTGGTTGTTTTTATGCGAGCGGGCGACTGGGTTTGGTTTAATCGCTAGTTGGGCTCTATCAGGCACCTACTTCCAGGCGTTTGGTTCAGGGACTGTGGGTAATATGAAAGAGGTCAGTCCTAATTCTGATCTCATATGATTTTGTTTAGATAGAGCCGTACTCATTTGAGTTCTTGCTAGATGCACAATGATGAAGCATGTTATTGGTATTGGTTGTTGATGGTTAATCGCTTAACCACCGACAAGTTCGGCCTCCCTTTGTTGTAAATCATTTTCTATGGTCAACTTGTACTGAGCACTGAGTAAGTGGAAAGAGGAGTTTGGACGCCCTAGCGCCCCCCGTGGATGTGCAGCTCAGAGGCTGGATATTTGGTAAAAGCATAGCAGTTAGCAGTCACATTCTCCTAGACGTAATTGGCATAACCTCTGTTTATACATGACCCAGGCACCTTGTGCACAATCCACATTTCCCACTAGTAGACTACCTACTCCGTGGTTGGACGTCCAATAATCCACCTGCCTGTCGCTGTTCACTAAGAAGCAGAATCGGCCATGCATTATTGGAAGAGCAGATGCGGCACTAAAGAAGAGTTCTCCTGAGATATGGAATTAGTGCCGCATAAAGTGCAACACTATTTAAAGTACGGCACTAGTTACACGCCTCTATTAACTCATATTGCAAGATACTAATTCAAACTTCCAGGTAAAGTGGCAAAATATCTTGTAAAGCGCCAGGAATGATGTCTAGTAAGATCCTTGCATATGTACATTTCAATTGACGGTTATCTATACACTGTAGAAGGGTAGAGGCACGTTCTATTGAAAGGCAAAGTATTTCAGTGGCTTTGGACTGCTTACTGAATATACAGTGATTTACTCCCTTATAGTAGTACCTACTCCGTACGGAGTACCATACCGTGCTTAATCAGCTGCCGCCAAAACCCACGTGATGCCGATATTCGACCCCTATAATAACTTAAAAAAATAAAGCTTTTTAATTTATATAAAAGGTATAAAAACCCAAAATTTTGGTGGTATATTTTGCACTAGCTAATTTCTTTATATAATAATTTTAGGACTTTTAAAAGTGCTATAGCAGCCGGATCTCGCGGCCTTAATAATTATATATAATTAAGGTGTTAGGAATAACTTTAGGGCTAAGGGGGGGTTATTTTTTTTTAAAAAATATTTTTAAAGTTACTAGGGTCTAGTTCTTACCTAGCTTGGCTAATTTAAAGTTATTTTAAAGCTATATTTCCGTGTTTTTATTTATATAAGCCTGCTTTTTTTAATATTTTTTTTTAGCCTTTTTTTTATTTGCTTTAAGACGGCGTTTTTATATATTAGTAGCTTAAATTTTTGCTTTTTTTTAGTTTGCTATTTTTTTTTTTTTAGCTTATTATTAATATATTTTTTTTTTCTTCTTCCTGTTCTTTTTAAGTTATATAACCTTATTTTTTTACTATTAAAAATCACGGGCCTGCTAAATTTTTTTTAAAAAATAAAATATTATATTATTATCCTCCGGGGCCTGGAGTTAAAATATAAAAAGTTTTTTTTTTACCTTTTTTTTTTATTAATAAGGGCCTTTTTAAGGTTCTTGGCCTGTGCTTTTATAAGTATATACTTTATATAAATATAATATATTATAGTATTAAGTTTTTTAAATTTTTTAGGTATAGGGGCTGCTTTTACCTTTTTAATAAGCTTTTAAATATTTTTTTAATTTTTTACCTATAATATATTTACTATAAGCTTAGTAAATACCAAAGTTTTATTTATATTTTTTTTAAATTACTGTAGTATAACCTTAGGGTTAAAAAAAACTAACCTAGTTAATTTTTAAAAACTTTTAATATTTTTTTTAAATAAGGCCTTAGGCCAGGCCTTTTAAAATAATTTAAAAAAGTCTTGCTTAGTAATTATACTAAGGCCTTGGTAAAAATATATAAAGCTATTTAATTTTTTACTATACGCCTTAGCTAAAAAAAAAAATCTTAATATTTAAAAACTATAAGGTATAAATTAAATAAAGTAAATAAGTAGCTATAAAAATCTTATTATTTTTATAAAAGTTTAAAAAGCGTATAATAATATAAGATCCATAGCTATTAAAAAAAAGTCTTTAACACCTTCTTGCTTAATTTTTTATTTATTTATTAAAAATATTATAAACCCATGCATATTTAAGGTTATTATTTATTTATTTTAAAGGGGATAAAGTAAAAAAATAATTATAAAGTTTAAAATTATAATTTTAAAGCTAGGAGTCTTATAGTTTACATGTAGTAAACTAGTAAATTAGGCCTAAAGGTAGTTAAATTTTTTTATTTATTAAAATATATATAATTATAGTTATTTACTTTTGACTACTATTTTATAAATATTACTTGGCTAGGCCTTTTATATAAGACTTTTTAAAAAAAATTCTCTTGCATTTTATAATTATATTAATAAAAAATCCTTTTTTATTTATATTATATATATTCTTAGGCAATATTTTATATTTATTAATTTTACGCTTTAAGTAGTTAAAGTATAAAAAGTACTTATAGGCTAAATTAGCCTTTTTTTTTAAAAAATTAATTTTAGTTATATAAGTGCTTATAAGTTTATTTTAGTATTTTATAAGCTAGCGCGAAACCTAGTTACTTCCTAGCTTTTTTTAAATAATTTTTTTAGTAAAGTTTTAAATTATATTATAAAAGTAAAATAAGCCTTAACTAGCCTGTTAATTAATATACTTTATAAAAACTTTTAATTACTAAGCGTTAAGTAATAACTAGCTTTTATACTACTTTTTTTTTAAGTCTTATATACCTTTATAATATTTAAATAAAGTTTCTTGCTATACACCAAAATCCATAGTAACTTTTATATATATAAAATATTTTTTTAGCTTTAAAAAATTAATATATTTTATTGCCTTTTTTATAGGAGTTATAATAGGCAAGATATAGGTAGTTAAAATTTACAAGCAAATATTAGTGTGGATGTAGTTTTGGCATCACGTGGGTTTCGGCGGCAGCTGATTAAGCACTGTAGCGGAATGATTCCCGGGGGGCGAAGCCCACCAAGTACGCAACAGGTATCTGCGCCACCATGTCTTGTCTGGTTGACTACACCTTTGCTCATTTTACATAACTTCTTATCCATGAAGTGGGACCATGAGAAGCCATGTCTCATTCACAGGGAAATAACACTGAGCCTTTCAGTGAACAAGAACATAGGGGTGATGCTGACATTGACAAGAAGCCTAAAAACAGAAGGCCAGCAAGTGAGAGCTTCCCACCGTCCATTCGCTCTCTGCGATACTTATACTGCATACAGACACTGCCTTCCGGCAACAACGTTTGAAGGCCTGGCAGTAAGTCTGCGAATGCACCTGGCCTACATAGGGGCTAGTAGCTGATGATTTATAGGCCGATCTTGACACCCAAGAGTGTTCTACCTCTCTTCTTTGTTGTCGGTGTTATTTTTGCCCCTATCGGTGGTTTACTACTATGGGCTAGCTCGACGGTAAGTTGAAACTTGCTCATTCTATTAAAATCGCGTCTCTGATGGCGGGTGTTGCTCTTTAGGTTGAAGAATTAGTGATAGAATATTCGGATTGCAAGAATGTCCCGACGAGCGAAACATTGATCCCAGATGATAAATATCATTACACCTTCAAATCCTCGTTTGATCAGCCGCCATCCTGGCAACGTTTCAGGGACGACAATGGGGATGATCACTGCCGACTCATGTTTGACATTCCGGATACCATCGGACCACCGGTTTTCATGTACTACCGCCTCACCAACTTCTATCAGAATCACCGAAGATATGTGAAGAGCCTCGATATGGATCAGCTGAAAGGAAAGGCAGTCAAGAATGATACTATCAATGGTGGCTCTTGCGACCCTCTCAAACTTGACGAGAATGGAAAAGCATACTATCCGTGTGGACTCATCGCAAACTCCATGTTTAACGACACTATAAATAATCCTATCTTGGTCAACGGCCGTGGTGGTGAACCCAAGGCGTACAATATGACAAACAAGGGTATTGCATGGGATAGCGATAAAGAACTCATCAAGAAAACCGAATACGAACCGGGTGCGGTTGTTCCTCCGCCCAATTGGCGAGAGCGATACCCGGACAACTACGAGCATGGAATCCCAAATCTGCATGAAGATGAGGATTTTATGGTGTGGATGAGGACCGCCGCCTTGCCAACATTCAGCAAGCTGTCCCGGAGAAATGACAACGAATCCATGCAATCTGGGCGGTATCGGTTGGACATCAAAGACCGTAAGTTTATGAGGACGAGAACTCAAAACAACTGGCGATATAGTACTGATCAGTATTCCAGCTTTTCCGGTCACTGAATATGGCGGTACAAAATCTATCTTGATCTCCACTCGAAGTGTTCTCGGAGGCCGGAATCCTTTCATGGGAATTGCCTACGTTGTTGTTGGAGGTGTCTGTGTCCTGCTTGGAGCACTGTTTACCATTGCGCACTTAGTCCGTCCAAGGTAAGGCCTATCCACCCCAGCCACAGTCGATTCCGAGTTAACATTTCTAGGAAACTGGGCGACCATACGTATTTGACCTGGAATAATGAGCAAGAGACATCTGCTACTGCAACTGGGCGAGATGATCGACCTGGGGCACACACCCATTGAGTTATCTCTGGCGATAAGTTTTTAGATACCTTCGTTTCTCTTCTTTTCGGCACTGCGTATCAATACTGTTTGCAAACGTGCCCCTTGATTCGGCTGGTATCCGGGGGTTATCAAGTTGCCCAAATCGGTAACGGGCAGCTGATATTTGAGGCGTCCTTAGGTGGGATTAGCGTGTTAACAACCGATTGATCTGAGAATTTTTATTTATTTATTGTGAAATGCTTCAGCTTGTGAATTTCCGGCACAAGGCGTTCACCTACCACATGAACAACCCCTCTTTCCCATGTTTCGCCATTCGTGGTCTCTGCATCCCTTGTTGTCTCATTCCCGCCTCGATCTGACAATCTCCAGTTCCAACATTTGGCAAATGGTGCATACCATGCCGCGTAACTGGTAGCAAGGATCGTCTTTTTTAACGTCGAAACCTCTCAGTAAGTCCCCGCATGCCCAGTCCCTCAGACGACATGCTTCAATCTTTTCGACTTCAGGTTCTGATAATTGTGGTCGCCGGTATCCAGCAGACCTGTCATGCTGCTCCTCGTTCGGATCGTGGCTTTTGTGCCACTGCAGCCCCAGATGAATCTTTGAGGGCCGAGTTTAGGAAGTTAAGCATTTCTGGAAATCATGGCGCGGCTGACCAAGAGAGTCGGAAGGCGCTAGAGCCCATTGAGATTGAGACATGGTTCCATGTCGTGAGCAGCAATGTAAGTGGCGACGTGGTTTCGGACAGTATGATTGCTACCCAGGTCAGTCGTGAACCTTGAATGGGGCTTTGTCTCTGGTTCAATATGTGTACTCCACCACCACAATCGATGCTTGAACTGACCAACTATGTCAGTTGTCATATCTTCAGGATGCGTATCAAAATGCGACAATAAGCTATCGGCTTGAAGGAGTAACGCGCCAGGTCAACGACAAATGGGCGCGCAATGAAGATGAACTCGCCATGAAACATGCCCTCCGCAAAGGAACATACAGAACCCTCAATGTCTACTTCCAGTCCGATCTCCAAGTTCCCACTGGCCCCGAGGCCCAGGGCCGTCACCTCGACCTTTCGGAACAGTTATCATCTAGCGTCCTTGGTTTCTGCACCTTGCCTGATCCCAGCATCAACGGCACTAGCCCGCGTTCCAGTTATGTGAAAGATGGGTGCAACGTTCTTGCAAGAACTATGCCGGGGGGTTCGCTGACGCATTACAACCGGGGCGGAACCGCCATCCACGAGATAGGACACTGGAACGGGCTCTTGCACACCTTTGAAGGGGATTCATGTTCTGCCAACAACGAGGGTGACTATATAGACGACACTCCCCAAGAGTCTATCCCCACCGATGGATGCCCTATCAGCAAAGACTCATGTCCGGATAGCCCGGGCACTGACCCGGTCCATAACTTCATGGATTATTCCTCTGATGAGTGCTACGAGCACTTTACCCCAGCCCAAGTTAAAAGGATGCGCGACATGTGGTATACAACGAGGGAAGGCAAATAGAAGTGGTCTTGCCTGCACTGCGACGATTATGACATTTGCTTAGCAGGGTGAGAAATCGGTGCAACGGATACACATAGGATACACATAGGACCCATGACCCTGGCGCAACGATGGCATGGAGTATCTGTTCTTCAAGACTATATCCACTTCCATACAATAGCACATCACTATTGAAGCTACACTCGCATGCATAGGCCCCATAAATCCTTCATTAACCAGTGGTTTCTCGGTTACTTACGTACTATCATTGTAAGCAAGTCCTACTACATTTTGCATTCGGTCCATGAGTTTACCACCTATTAGGTTGTTGGTCTCGGCTTCCGACAGATTCCCTTGGACTTGCCATAGCCAGCACCAAAGTATCTATCAGGGACGTCGAGAAACACTGAAGACGGGTGCGGGTGTGCAGCGCGCATGTTCTATTAAAACTGCAAGATAACTAGGATACAATATTCTGCTAGAGATGGTTGACCGCCGAGATCAGGCGCAAGCGTAGAAGCCGGTCGACCTATCACCTCTTTCGCTTCTTGCCCATGCCTTCATCATCCAAGCCACTCTCTCTGTCTTTCTTCTTGGCTTGATGTTCCAGCTCATCCCAATCCTCACCACTTTCCTCTTCTTCATCGGCGCTGAAATCATCATCCGCGCTAGCATCGTCATCGTAGTCACTCTCCTCTTCTGAACTCTCGTCTGCAGCAAGTTCTGATTCGGATAGCTCAAAGGCCGACTCCTCCTCTTCATCAGATCCACCTTCGGAATCTGACTCGGCCGCAAGGAAAGACCACCCACCATCAGCAAAGAAACCGTATGGATCACTGACAACAGTCTTCATGATTGTGGTCCAGTTCAGATTGAGAGGTCCTTCGGTGTATGCAATATCCACGGAATCCAACCAATCCTTCACACCTTCCAAGTTCTCCACCGGGATTGTGTTAATATGCACTGGTGCCCGGTGGAAGTCCTTGAACACAAAGACAAGATCGAAATTTTTCAAGCCGAACTAAATGAACATTAGATACTGCCCAGTTGACTAAAAAATCCGTTGTTCAACTCACCTGCACCCTTTCAAGGTGCGCAATTTCGATTTCATTAAGACTCACAACCAGGAAGGGCGGTTCAGTCAATTGAACAAGAGCATCTGTGGTTGGCTGGATCAGAACATTCGAGCGATTGGGGACACCAGTAAAGCCAATTTCTCTGAAAGGGATGTCAACATCAACACCCTCATCCTTTCCAGCATCCGCTATCTTTTCCGCGAATGCCTTGAACTCTCGATCTAAAGCCGCCCGTCGTCTTCTCTCCTCTTGCTCTGCCTCAAACTCTTCTTCATCCCCATAACGGTGCTTTCGCCTCCGGTTACCAGTCTCATCGAACTGCATCTCAGTAGCCTCTCTATAGAACTGGACATCCCTTGTCTTCCGCTTGCCGATCATTATAGGAGTCTTGAGGTGTACGTGGATCAAAACAATCAACTCATGAGCACAAGGCTGGAAGAACAGATGTTTGACGTTGCTAAACAGCACATCAACGTGTTCGTTGCGAAAGGGAGAAACATAGCGAAGACCATTCTGGTGTATTTCTACCTCGCCAGGAACTCGTTTACCATCAAGCGGAGGTCGAAGGTAAACGTCAGGTAATTTCACAGGGCGGCGATCTGACTCATAATTAGTTTGAAACCCAACTTTTGAGGGGAAGGGACCAACTTCTAATCTCAGCCAACTTGTCCTGTTCGACAACATCTTCCATCTCCTTCTTTTCCTGCTCACGGCGCAAGGCATTCTTCCTGAGCTCAGTAATGTCTTGAGCAACCTGCGCGAACCGATCGTTGTCTTTTGACCGGAGCGTCAAGTTCCTCAGGAAATGGGCCGACAGATCTTCGAAGGGTTGGTCGTCTTTTCTTCCAACGCCTTGACCCGGTGAGAGAAAGTTGATTCGAAGATAGGCGTACTCCCCCTCGTCACTCTTGCTTGCATTCTTAATGGTGTTGATGTGAAATGGCACAGGTCGACCCATTACTGGAACAATAACAGTTGAGGCCTTGTGATCCACATAAACCGTAAGATCCTTGACCTTGGTTGGTAATTGGTTGTCTCTCTTATATGACTCAAATCTCTTGAACTTCTTCTGTGTGACTCCGTTGTCGTCGCCGGTGGTACCTGCAAATCGGTCCAGACCCTCCTTGGTCTTTTTGGTAGCCAACTCCTTCTGATGCTCACGGCGCCGGGCCTCCGCGCCCTCGTTAACCTGCGTAGGACGTTCAGCTCGGAGCTTTGTCCTGGTAACATTCCTGCTCGCGATTGCACTCGATTTAGGTTCTTTCTTCTCTTTGGCAGGTTTCTGAGGCTCCTCTTCGTCTCCAAAGTAGAATGATACAGAGTCCATGTCGATGCCGGCGTCCTTGGTGAAGACATGGGGTCCCTGTTCACCAACCCGAACGGTGTCCGTGATCATCATCGAATAGACGTTCCTTTTTTTGTCCTTCATGTCCAGTTCTTCAACATCCACCAGCCCAACCGTTATAGCAAAGGTCATGCCGCTCTTTAGTATCCGGTTGTTCTTGCCATTGAGGACCATATTCGAGTCACGAAGCTCAATTCCTACACCAGCGCCAACATTCTTCATGAAATGGGATTCGAGTTCCGGCTTTTTGGTCCGAACTAGTCCAATGGCCTTGTTGTAGAGCTCCTTAGCTACCACGCCATCGCGGACTTCCTTCAGTACGGCCTCATGAAGACTCAGGAGCAACGCATAGTTCGCCTCCTGAGACTTGGTCGGGTCAACCAGGTAGGTGCGCCCAATTATTGAGCTGTAGGTTTTGTAGCGGACACCGAACCCAGCAACGATGATTCCGGGCTCCAAGTTATTGTCATCAGGCAAAGCTGTTAGCTTCAAGTCATACTTTCCGCCACTTTGTATGACAGGACCATATGCCCAGTCGATTTGTTGAGGATCGAATTCTGAGGGTAATTTCGCAAGCTTGTTGAAGAACCTGGTGTCGTCAATCTTGGCGTCAATGCGCATAGATAGGGCTTTATGTGTCATCTGCTTTTCCTCATCTAGCAAACGAGACATCTCATCGACGAAATAATCGGACATCAGACCGCTGCAAGCTCTCGATGCGTTCCTTATAGAGACCTATAAAGCATTAACTGTGGCTTTCGCTGACTCTTCAGTCTCGAGAACATACTAGCTCGTCTGTATCTTTGACTGAAAAGCATGCCGCCGAAAGAGCGGGAGCAATGTCGACTTCTTCCACTTCCCCGGATATCTTGCCATATACGCGCTTCCAGTCTTCCACAAACGGACCAGTAGTTGTGTCTCTTGGCAAAACTCCGACCTTGTTCTGTTGGCAAGCAGATGTTAGTGTCCGAAGCGGTCGCGTCATAGACGGGTCAATTCTGAGATCAAATACATACCCCAGCGGATTTTATAACATCCACACACTTCTCAAACACCTTGGTTTTCTCTTCCTGATCCTTGGTAGTTACCAAGATCTCAACCGGAATCTTTCCACCTTTCAAGGGTTCTAGATGTTTCGCTGCTATGCGGTCAGCGAGGCGCGTCCGGAATTGTTTATTGTTTCGAGAAAAGGTACCTTTTTTGGCTGTCGTCACGACATACATAACCTCGGGGGTAAAGACGAGAAGTGTAGCCGGAAATTCATAGCCGAGTAACCAAAACTATGAAGCATCAGTGTGAGGATCCTGATCGCCGTCATAATCAGCATACATGTATTGCATTGTTCTTCTGAAAGCCATTCGCTTCGTCCGTCTTCCCCATCAAAATGACGATAGATCCAGCACCGCCAAACACCGGATGGCTAGATCTTTTATCTGCTTTCCATGATGTATAGAAGCTTGAAAGGCGACTGAAGAACGCCGTTTTATCGATGACAATTTCGTCACCCATGATGTGGCTCCTCCTAAGGCGACTTTGAGGCTTCGGGGCCCTGCCGTTCGCGCAGGAACTGAAGGTCAAAAAAGCAAGGCAAGGCAAGCTCGATCAAGTTCGCCTTGGGAGCTGAAAGGGAATGTGAAATGTCCTTAAGATCGCGCTGGTAGGAAGATATAGTGGTTGCCAGTTCAAGAGGTTGGGATGAAGGTGATAGGTCTGGACCTTCTTTGTAGAAATGAATAAGAAGTGAAGAGTAAACGCGAAAAGAGGACGGAGCGCGTCTTGACTTTCAAATTGGCGTTTAGGCGGAAACCCATTTAGCTTTTAGCGTAATGTGTTTGGCTAGTTTGCATAAACTGATACTATTACTACATCCCTGCCACCAGGTGGCTTCCCTGACTTGGTTTTTTTTCATGCTCTACTGATGAACCTCATTTCTGGCTGTACATTCTAGATCATCCAAGACGATTTGTGGCTCCCCGTACTGTGTTGATACACATCCCTATCAGTGAAACAGTGACTACAATGATTTCATTTAGATCTTATGTTGACAGTCTCCATTTCGAAAATTGATCTCAAGGTTCTGGACTTGCGGACCTGAATTCGAGACCAACATGAACATTCCTTCCGAAGACCCGTCTGAATCAGGCCGACTTGTACAGAGCGACGACCGACCATCAACCTTAGAAGACAGCACGTCCCGCAGAAATCCGCGCAGTAATGCGGCCACGGGCGCTTCGGCCGCTGGTGTACGCGCTCTCAGTGCGCAACTTGTGGCATTTTACTTCAGAGTTCCTGTCAAGGCGTTCTTTCGCACTCGGGTTGAGTAGGTATCCAGCTACTTCGCTTTAGGCATCGACTGTTGACTGACCCGATCTTTTCACTTTCCACAGTTACATGGTACACACTTCCTGACCTCCTTTTACCAACCCTTTTCGACATGGTCCCCCCGACAACTAATACAAAATATAATCATTATTTCCGCACAGGCGTTTGCGCGAGCTGTTTACCCACATCCAACTGGAGGCGGCCGCTGGTCACTACACACCACTACCCCAGGTTTACTCATACATGCAGTTCGAACATACGGATGGCGGTTCATACCAAACCAGGTTATGCCTCCACTGCTGGCTAATGCTGGGTAGGTGGGCCGAAAGTTCTCTGATTGGGGGAGAACAATTCAGCTGAACGTCTTTGACAGGGTCGGGGCTGTGCTATACACATCTTACCTCCAGATCCTGGGAACTTTGTACGAACCTGTCTCGCGAGGTGTGAGACGCACATATCCACCAGCTACCCCCGCCGATACTTTCATAGCGGGCTTAATTGCTGGGTCAATGCAGTCTATTGTAGCTGCTCCCCTAGATGCTCTACAGGTTCGCCTCAGAACCAACGACATCATCGAAGGTCGTTATCATAGCATGTGGCACTATGGCCAGCATAAACTTCAGCACATCGGACTACGTGGTATTTTCGCCGGCTGGACTCTCTCGTTTCTGCGTGACTCGTTTGGCAGTGCCGTCTTCTTTTCGTTCTTCGAGTACATCAAATCGCAGGCGTACTACTCTTTCCTCACTAGGTATTATGGCTCCTTACACTCTGATAAGGGGGGCTCATTACAATCAACCCAGTCCAGCGATCGTGGGGTGCCGCTGATCAAGCCGCATTATGCCTTGGAGCCCTGTTTCCTACTCGCCGCTGGCCTCACCGCATCTGTTGCTCAGCAGTCAATCCAATATCCAATAAATGCTGTACAGAACATACACGTTGCGCGGTTGGAATATCTTGACCATCAAGCAACTTTGCGCCCTCCGAAGAGGCAAATGCTGCAGATCTATTACTTAGCATACCAGGAAACGTATAAGCGGTGCAAAAGGAAAGCTGCTCGGGCTGGAGGCTGGATCAGATGGCTATATCGGGGATTCTTGGGAAATGCTCTTCGTCAAGTTCCCAGCACAAGTGCTGGACTCGTGATATTCGAATTGGTGCGACGCAAGCACGCGAACATGGCAGATGCCACATACATACGAAAAGATGGCTATGATATCCTGCTATCATGATAGCGCTCTCTGTCTCCGCTCTTCACTTATAATTGACGTTCGAACTCTCAAATGCAACGGAAATGCCATATGTTGCGCCGACAAGCACCTTGGCGGAATGAGGGCACAGTACAATTAGCGAAACATATCCCATGCGGCTTTCGCGCGCGCTTTGCCCTGATCAGGCGCTCATATTGCGATGGAACACGATCTGTCGCATCGTGCAAGTTGCATATGAACGGCACCGGTGGTTTTATCCATTTCACTTATACTAGCTCCTCCACCCGCTTCACCTATCTTTGTATATTTGCGAGTATTGTATGGAGCACTATGCATATTAAATTAGACATGTAAAAGAGCTCTATATCTGAGAAGCTATATGATGTTTTGTGCACTATACTGCGATTATTGTTATTATCACTTACCGCAATCTATTGGAAGAATGCGGATCCTTGTGATGTCATACCACAGGACACGATTTACTACGTTATATAAAGCATAAACGGTCAGACCGGTTGAGATCACAATTATATTCCCTTATTCCACTACTAGTCAAATGCTCTGACATCAATTCCTGATGAACCAGCCCTCAGCGTCATGATGTGAGGAACTCGAGAAGTTTGACGCATCCCGGCGTTTATATAACTACATAGTATGGACTACACCTCGGAAGCGAAATTCTCTCGAATCTTGGCGGCTCCACTCCTTTTCTTATAGCGCCCTGTAGACGTATCTTACGTCGCAAAACAGCTGCTTAGGGTATACTGTTTGTGTAATTTCAACACTGATACCACAGCGCTAGCAATGTGGCGTTGAGCATGGACTGCCGATTTTCGAGAATCTCGTTTCCAAGGAGTGTACGTACTCCGTATGGACTATGGGGCGAACACCGTACTTCAGTTCGGTTACGGCACTGCCCGGGGGAGAAGGTCCCCACTGGGCCACCTTGGCCAGAGCCCAGCAGCACCCAGTCTCGACTCTGCACTGTCCAGTAGTACGGAGTAGTCCCGGATTTGAGCAGCCTCGCCCTCCCGAGCCCCAAAACTCCTGGAGTGAGTGGAGTTCCGTGGTTGGGATGCCCTATGGAGTGCTAATCTTACATTCGTAGGTATCAGGAGTGAATCTACGGCCAACGTTGCCATCTTCACTTGCAGCTTGGACTCAATTGACTTTTGATGACTACCTACCTCAGCCACATACATACGGATAATAGGTTGAGATCCTACGGCGTCAGAACCGAATCTAAGTGCCTCAGTCACTGTGATACAAGGTTCATCTCACTTCTCGAGTACGGAGTAGGTAGCTTTCTGTTTGAGTAGTGGACTACCACCACTGCATAGCTAAATAAATGATTGCCCCAGAGTATCTACCCAAGCCGCAGAGCATTAGGTAACAGGCTGTCAACTGTCTAAGTTCCTTACGTGTGTATATTTCACTAGCCTGGGCCCCCAGGATCATCTATCCCCGAAAAGGAGTAACCCGTACTAGGTACTCCGTACTATCTACGCCTACGGAGTAGACTGGCTACCCCATACTCGCATAACTACGGAGTACTATTAAGTATTGACCCTGTTCTTTTCTTGGGCCGAGTCTTACCTTCGCTCCCTTTCTCACCCAGTCAATTCCACAATCGAAAGACCAAGTTCAAACTATCCCATCATCTGCCATATTGTTCTTTGTGACTTGTCGCGGTCGTCGTCCACCTGGACAGCTGTTCTATTGTTGGCTAGTGCTTCCCACCTGACCGTCACCCTGCCCTTTCGGCTGAATACCTAGCCTGGGATACCATCGTCATCCTGCATCGTCGGTCTTTTCCCTGTCGTCTCGTGAGCAGACTCTAAAGGACCATCGTCATTGCTTTCTCCTTAGGCTCGCATTTGTTAGTTTGGTTTAGCCGCAAGTATCCGATTTGGCTGGTCACTTCGGAATACCAGGCCGGGTCTTAGGCTGTCCTTTTGGCCCTTTCCGCATCACGAGACTGCCAGCGGGTGTCTTGGTTGATCTTCCAATTTGATGTGATGCTCCGGGTCAAACTCACGCGGCGGAACACGATCATTTGATGAAAGGTTATCGATACCCCAACTGACATCCAGTCATCCACCCCTTTCGATTCCCCACCAACGACAGGGCTGTTGACATCAGCCCTCAACCGCCAACATTCCTCCAACAACGTCGTCGCCGCACGCTTCTACAACCATACCCTTGCGGTCTTTACGATCTGTTTCCCAGAATCCGTTCGCACGGGCGTTAGAGTCTGCGAGCGAGAAGGGTAGCCGTCGGTCATCTATATCATCCTCGGCTCACTCCGTCGGATCGGATTTCTTGCTTTGGAGCGATACTGGAGATTTAGCAGAACAAATCGCGGATGCAGAGGGTCCTCTCAGAGCCCGACTCATAGAATCCCTGGATCGTGGGGGCTCCAGTCGAGCCGGGTCGAGGACACGGTTGAAACAGGCGAAACGTGTGCACTATCAGAACCAGCAGAGTACTGGCAACTCTGGCCTCGAGAAAATAGAAATACCACTACCCCCTCCAAGGAAGATATCACGCATTGAACGCTTGATCGCTGCGATAATGTCGCCAGGCAACCGGCATCTTACTCAAACGCATGGCTTGGTTGGGAGGCCACTGCTGTAAGGAACCTACCATATACGAGAGTGTCTCTAGATTCAACTGCTAATCTGGCATAGTTATTTCACGAGCGTATTTGTGTCATTAGGTGTCTTTTTGTTTGGCTATGATCAGGGTGTGATGTCGGGGATTATAACGTTCGTCTCGCCTCATGCGTGCTGAAACAGGTCATTAGTGGCAATCTGTACTAACCTAGAACCAGAGGCTTGTACTTCAAAGATTATTTCAATCAGCCATCCAGAGCGGAAATTGGCACAGTGGTTGCAATATTAGAAGTTGGGGCTTTTATTTCCTCTTTGCTCGTTGGGAAGATTGGCGACGTAATTGGTCGCCGCAGAACTATCCTCTATGGATCTATGGTGTTCTTCATCGGCGGCGCTTTCCAAACCTTTGCGACGGGGCTACCGATGATGATGGTAGGCCGTATAATTGCCGGTCTGGGTGTCGGGGCATTATCCACCATCGTCCCGGTGTATCAGTCTGAGATCTCGGTACCGTTACCCCATCTGTTTGTTCTCACAAAGTATACTATGGCTCATACTAATCATGGATCTGCAGCCTCCTCACAATAGAGGAAAGTTGGCCTGCATTGAGTTCACGGGGAATATCTTCGGATATGCTGCTAGTGTTTGGGTCGACTACTTTTGTAGCTTCATTGATAGTGACTTTTCCTGGCGCCTACCGTTGCTCTTGCAGTGTATTATGGGACTCCTCCTTGGCCTGGGGAGTCTCATTATTTGTGAATCTCCAAGGTAAGGCCGATCGATACCTTTTTTTTGTGCGGCGCAATTTGCGGAATTGGCTAATACATCCTGATTATTAGGTGGCTGCTGGATAATGACCATGACGAAGAGGGTATGGTGGTCATCGCCAACCTCTATGGTAAAGGGGATCTTCACAACCCGGAGGCCCAGAAAGAATACAGGGAAATCAAGATGAACGTACTTATCACCCGACAAGAAGGAGAACGGTCTTACGCCGACATGTTCAGGAGATATAACAAGCGCGTACTAATTGCAATGTCTGCGCAAGCCCTCGCGCAACTGAATGGGATCAATGTCATCTCATACTACGCGCCGCTGGTATTCGAGTCCGCTGGATGGGCCGGCCGCGATGCTATTCTCATGACTGGAATAAATGGCCTGATATATCTCGCATCGACGGTCCCTCCTTGGTATCTTGTGGACCGCTGGGGGAGGCGTCCCATACTTCTGTCTGGTGCCTTGGCTATGGTCCTTTCTCTGTCAGCGATCTCCTATTTTATTTTTATTGATATCAAGGCTACCCGAACCCTCACCGTTATATTCGTTGTGATCTACAATGCTGCTTTCGGCGCCTCATGGGGTCCTATACCGTGGCTGTACCCTCCCGAAATTCTTCCCTTAAGCATTCGTGCGAAGGGCGCCAGTCTCAGCACTGCAACCAATTGGGCCTTCAACTGGTTGGTCGGTGAGGTCACGCCTGTTCTTCAGGCTGCGATAAAATGGAGGCTGTATTTGGTTCATGCCTTCTTTTGTGCATGCAGTTTTGTTGTTGGTGAGCATTTCTGTCATTTCGCGCCGGCTCTCGACGACTGACATGGACTTTAGTTTGGTTTCTCTATCCCGAAACGAGTGGAGTCCGTCTGGAGGATATGGACCTGCTCTTCGGCGATGCAACTACCGCTATGCCAACTCCCGCCACTCAGGGCGAGCGTGGCTCCCTGATGAGTGCCGGCTCACCAGTCCCCTCGCTTGATATTAGGCGCCAGTATGGTCAGCATGGAGCCGATAGTGCCATCCCCGGCCTAAACATCAATCCTCCCAATATCACCTCTGATAACAATGGTAAAAGTGACCATACTGGCTCTCAAGATGACAGCGGAAGCCGACCCGAGGGGCTAGGGGGTTGGATATCGAATATAGTCAGCCGCAATAGGGGACCGTCGAACCGCCCACAGGACACTCAATATAGAAGGTTAGAGCAGGATGAAGAAGTCGAGCAGTAAAAAGCTGTTCTCGCTAAATAATCGTTCCTGCGACTTCCGTCAGCTCCGTTGCATGATAGATGCATTGCCCTCCCCGGCTCCACTACTGGTTTTTTTGTTTTCATTTTGTATGATCTGCAGCGTTTTCGGGTTGAAACTTGGTGATAGCGTGTCCCCACCGCAATCTTTTGTCTTACCGTTTCCTTTGGATTTGATCTCGCATAGACCTATTATCATATTGTGTCGCTATCTCCATATGGTGATTTTCTGACTAAAGGTATCAGTCAAGTTGCAACGCTTAATTTGTAGACATAGAGAAGCCCGGTTCATTTGATCATGGTGAGAGATGGTATAATATTTTATTTATCGGATAGACTATTCGTGTGATAAACCAGCATCCTTATTTGAGTTGGCTATTTTATTAAAAAGAAGTCCGGATGATTCTGGACCTTCAGAACGTTTCGCTGGATCTAGAGACTAGTGCTATGTAGATGTATGTACTGCCCTTTTAAGTGGTCTGGGCGGGCCGGCGGCACCTCGGCGGCGAGCGCTCAAAATGTACACCTATTAATAAATATTCTGCCGCGTAGATGCACACCTTCTGGCCAACTCGCCATTTTGGACTTCAACTTCATCCTTGATGTCGGACTTGCCCGTCCAACGCCTACTCATAACCTTCGCTCACCTGCTTTTGCTCCTGCTTACCGATCAACTTGTCCAATTGTTTCACTTTGGGGCCTTCAATTATTGAAGAACACTCTGTTTAGCTCGCCCACCTCCTATTCAATTGCAAAGGAAGCTTCGCAGTCTCCTGCCAGATATGAGTGTGCCGTACTATTAGTCGCCTATTCTTGCTTTCTTTTCCTGCTTCTCTTCTATCTTTACATTGTTTGCTTCCGAAAGCGGATCACTTTTTTCCCATCATCTCTCATCTTCCTGTACGTCTTCTTAGTAGGAATCGGTCACTATTTCCAGCATGGCTGATAACGGCTCTGCGTCAACCACCGGGGCGAGCTTGGCCTCCGATGTGCGACGTAGAAACGTTCCGCACACGGAAAGACAGAGCACGACTTCCAGCTTGGTCGAACTTGACGACAAAAAGGGAAAACAGCGGGTATGACCTTCTTGGCCGCATGTTCAGCTTCAGGCAGCTAATGCAGCTGTCTCATGAATAGCCAAAATCTCATCTTTCCGCTCTACTTGATTGGGAGCCTATGATTGCACCGATTCTTCTGACAGTCCTGTCAATGTTCACGCGTATGTACCGGATCGGCCGCTCAAATATCGTGACTTGGGATGAGGCGCAGTATGAACCAACCACATGTTCCGGATATAGGCTTTCGGCATAAGCTAACAACATCTCTAGTTTCGGAAAATTTGGGTCACATTACCTGAAACGCGAGTTCTACTTTGATGTTCACCCTCCGTTGGGAAAAATGCTTGTGGGCTTGTCGGGCCTTCTTGCCGGCTATAATGGATCGTTCGAGTTCAAATCCGGTGAAACGTACCCCGAGGACTTGAACTACACTTTCATGCGTTTATTTAATGCTGCCTTTGGTGTGGTGTGTGTTCCACTCGCCTATCTAACGGCAAGAGAGCTTGGCTTTCGGAGAGGTACAGTTTGGCTTGTGAGCCTAATGGTGCTTTTCGAAAACTCATATGCAACCATATCAAGATTCATACTGCTTGACTCTATGCTTCTTTGCTTCACGTTCACTACCACGTTCTGCTGGGCAAAATTCCATCGTTTGCAGCGCTCGAGTTTCTCCGTTGAGTGGTTTACCTGGCTTTTCCTGACCGGTATCAGTATCGGCTGTGTTTGTAGCGTCAAATGGGTTGGCCTTTTTTGTACTGCGCTTGTTGGTCTTTACACCATCGAAGATCTCTGGAATAAGTTTGGTGATCTAAAGATGTCGGAGGTTGTCCCCCATACTACTCACTGAATCATCGTTCTTGATGCTGACAGGTCACCAGGTCACGCTAGCTAAACATTTTGCGGCACGCGTGGTGGGCTTGATTCTTATTCCAGCCCTGGTATATGTCTTCTCGTTCTATATTCACTTCTTGATTCTAGAGAACAGCGGCCCAGGCGATGCGCAGATGAGCTCGTTGTTCCAAGCGAATCTTAAAGGTACCCAGGTGGGCAAAGACAGCCCTCTCGAGGTTGCCTTCGGCTCAAGAGTCACCCTCAAAAATATGGGATACGGCGGTGGACTTCTCCACTCTCATGTCCAGACCTATCCCGAAGGATCCTCGCAGCAACAAGTTACATGCTATCATCACAAGGACGCGAACAACGACTGGTTCATCTATCCGAACCGCAAAGAGCCGCAGTATGATGCGGATGCACCTCTCAAGTTTGTCGGTGATGGCGATGTTATCCGTCTGATTCACGGTCAGACAGGTCGAAACCTCCATTCGCATAACATTCCGGCTCCAATAACCAAGAGCCACCACGAGGTTTCTTGCTATGGTAACTTGACTATAGGAGACGATAAGGACCACTGGAAGGTTGAGGTCGTCGACGATGTGGCATCCAGAGACAGAAGTCGAATCAGGACTTTGACTACAGCCTTCCGATTACGACACCCTGTCCTAGGTTGTTATCTACGCGCCGGCAATACAAATCTTCCCCAATGGGGTTTCAAGCAGATTGAAACAACTTGCGTGAAGGAAAACAACCACCGCGACGTTTATACGCACTGGAATATTGAGACTCATACCAACGACCGTCGTATGTCATTCCACGCCTATTCTTGTTGCGGCCAACGCTAACATAATAACAGTTCCTCCTGGTGACCCTGGATCTTACAAGTCTCCCTTCTTTAAAGACTTCGTACATCTGAATGTTGCGATGATGACGTCGAACAATGCTCTAGTACCCGACCCTGATAAACAGGATGATCTTGCATCGAAACCATGGCAATGGCCGATACTTAATGTCGGTCTACGCATGTGCTCTTGGGACGAAAAGGTGATCAAATATTATCTCCTTGGCAACCCCGTTGTCTATTGGGGAAGTACTCTGAGTTTAGCTGTCTTCGGGCTGCTAGCTTTGTGGTACCTTGTGCGATGGCAACGCGGCTACAATGAGCTTAGCCAGGCAGACATTGATCACATTCATTTTGCCGGCTTGTATCCCGTTGTTGGCTGGTTTCTGCATTACCTGCCTTTCATCGCTATGGCCCGGGTCACCTATGTTCACCACTATTACCCGGCACTCTATTACGCTATTCTGACTTTCGGTTTCTGTGTCGATTGGCTCACTCAGTCTTTGAACTCCAAGGCTCGTTGCGCGGTTTATGGGCTTTTTTATATTCTGGTGATTGGAGTTTTCGCATACTTCCAAGTGATTGTTTTTGGTATCGAAGGCCCAAGTCAACAATGGCGTCACCTGAACTGGCTGAGCGGTTGGCGAATCGCTAACTGAGGGTCATCAATGGAGTGTCTTGACTTTCCTTCTTCACTTGCAGCATCCTGCTCCCTTCTCTTCTCAACCTCTTTGTCTCATACTATGTCCATTTGTTATTTGTTACACCAAAAGGAGCTTTTGTATTATTTATTGATCAGTGTGTGTTCTGCTCTCGCTCTTGGTAATATTTCATATATCGAAACGAAATAATCGAGGACTCCATTAAGCTCCGAGAGCAAAAGAACCATAGGATCACAAAGTAGCGTCGATCGACATGCCGTACTTACACATCAGGTTTAGGATGGGCACATTGATTAGCAACAACTTCCACCCAGACTATTGCCGCCCTTGCGCATCGCGTCATTCATTCCTAACGTAACGGTCTTGGGCATTTTGCTATTCGCACCGCCAGACGCACCGAAACTTTTCACGCCACTGCGACGGTCATTAAGATCATACTTGCCCGTTTCGATATTGCGGTAAATTCGCTCGGCAACTTCGAGAAACGCACGTTCCACTCCTTCGCCTGACTTGGCACTCGTCTCAAGGTAGCGCACAACATTGTTCATGCGGCACCATTCCTCTGCCTCCTCCTTAGTAACACGTCTTTGGTTCGAATCCAACCCATTTCCTGCAAGGTCACTCTTGTTTCCCACCAGAATAACAACGATGCCTTCTTCGGCAATTTGGCGTAAATCCTGAAGCCACTGGGTGCACGAGGTAAAGGTGACCGGTCGAGTGATATCAAATACAAGGAGCGCGCCGGAGGCACCCCGGAAGTACGATCGAGTTATGGACTTGTAGGTTTCCTGTCCAGCAGTATCCCAAAGGGATAACTTCATCTTTTTCTGTGTTTGCTGTACTTTTTGAGGAGGATTTGGCAGTCCGGAGACGACGAGTGTGTTGGAGTCCTCAAGATGCGCTAAGGACGGATCTTGGTCGGGAGGGACATCGTTGGGGAGGTGTATTTCAGGATCTGCTTCCAAATCTCTCGACGCAGGCGGGCCGACTGGAACAATGCGAGATCCAAACTCGACGCCGATTGTAACATCGTGCGTTGAAGAAAATCGACCCTCGCATAGTCGGATAGTCAGCTATAGCGAACATAAGACAGTTAACAAGGAACTTTCCAATACGTAGCTAGCGGCCACACTTACGCTGGATTTCCCGGTCCCGGAGTCACCAATACAGACAAGTTTAGCGATGTAATCCCATGGCTGTGACATGGGTACCGAAGTGTGTTGATACTGTCGCAAAGGGCGGAGAAGATATATTTCGGAGAATCGATTGCGCCACTTTAGACCACCATAGAGCTCATTTGGGGCTGTATTGCAGAGAAGCCGCAAACAAAGCGCGCGGCGTTGATTCAGAGGCGTCACCTAAAACCAATCTGCTCCAGGGCACTAGGAAGCTGGAGCATTGGGTTGCGGTTGCTTTGGAAGAGTCTCTTTAAGGTCTGAATGATGCGTGAGGTGGGCCGCCTACTTCAAGGCTGATGAGTCAGCTGTCACAATGACCGTGTCTTATGACGCCTGCAGTGTCGACCACACTCACTTCCCAATTCTTTATGCACAGGCTCTCGTCCATCACGTCTTTAGTCTAATATATACTTGCTCAGGGAGCCTGTAAACAACTCCTTTCTAACTGCTTCTTCACCGTAACACAGTCTCCTCAGGTAAATTATCATTGACTATAGTTGCTCACCGCTCCATATTCAAACTGCGATAAACTACGCATTCGAGAGCCCGAGGGGATTAGAAGGCACCGTGCCTATCCCCTTCTTACTTGAACTGGGAAATGTTTTCTGAATGTAAGTCACCCATGCTGCCATCGCTCAGTGCCAGTGCTGCCATAACTCACTCATGGACGCAGATGCCTCACGCTTCCTTGCTCAGTCGCAATCACGCATCGTACCTCGTCCCGATGAGAGACCTAGGAAGGATAGGAATCGAATAACACAGCAGCCTGAAAACTCCCGCTATTTGTCTTCCCGTTCCTTCCTGCATAGGAGACCGGCCGATCCATACCATTCCGGGGCTTCGCAGTTTTCGAATTTCGCCTTCGGTTCGCGAAATCTAGCACAACAAGCGCCTTTATTTCACAGTGCCACCGAGGACTTTCATGAGGAGGATGAAGAGGCCGAGCATGAGCGTGAAATAGCAGATTTCTATGCGCTTCAAAGATCAAGGCGGCATTTCGGTAGCAGCCATTTAAAAGACTCGGAGACTGATGAGGATGGCAGCAACTCCCTTGAAGCCAGCCCCAAACAGCCCCTTGACGGCCCAGGGGAGTGGCCTGGAATAGGAGTTGAGACAACATGGCGTACTGCCAGACCAGGCAGGGCGAGAGGTCGGTTTGATCTTACAGTGGTGGAGAAAGCTGATGGCGAAGAAAACTTCCTTCATGATAGCGAAAACCGGACAAAGAGTAACTTGGTCGATATTCGCCTCCAGGACACGTTGAAGTCTAGTTTTCGGTTAGAAGACGGTGACCAGCGTCGGCCTGAGGATGATAAACCACCCTCCGTTCAAAGATTTCGGGAGGTACCTCGAATGGATAGGTTAGGGATAAATACTTTGTCCACGCCTCATGAAGAAAGCGAACAGTCATTATTAGAAGACACCCAGCAGTCGCTCATTGAGCCCTCCCAACAAACTTCCGCGCCTCTTGGAAGGACCGAGTCCCCAGGCCACGATGTTTTCTGGGGGCATCTATTCCTGATATCATTGGCCTGTCTCTTTGCTACATCATTTCTTGTTTACTTACACACCTCTCCGCCATCCAGAGACAAGGCTAAATTGGGGGATACAATATATCTGACTCTCCATGGCTCCTTTTACCGCCTCGGCATTTATACCCTGGTTTCGATCTTTATTTCATTATTATGGCTCGCTCTGCTACGGTCATACGTACGCCCCTTGGTTTACATGATTATATTCGTTGTCCCAGTGATCCTCTACTCATTTTTCTTGTACCCTTTTATTTCGAGTTTCCGGAGCGGCTCCAGTGCTCAGGACAAAATTATGCGATTCGGATCGTTCGTCCCATTCGCCATGGCCACAGCTTGGGTTTACAACGTTATACGAAGTCGTCATTCCATAGGAAAGGCAATTAGCATTCTTGAATTTGCGTGTCGGATCCTCGCCACCAATGCAGAGCTGTTACTCCTTGGTCTAGGCAACCTTGTTCTTATCGTCTCCTGGACATGGGTATGGATGCTAATGTTCACTCGGGTATTTCTCGGGGGGCATATGTCCACGCCGAATTCGTTTATTGTTAACGTCAGCAGCTGGTGGCTGGGGGCCTTCTTTGTCCTTGTGTATTTGTGGTCTCTTGGGGTCATTGCAGGCATTCAGCGAGCAGTCACGGCAGCAACAGTAAGCCAGTGGTATTTCCACCGGTTTACAAACCCAACGCCAACCTCTAGGCAAGTAGTTCAGGCGGCCACAATCCATTCATTGACGGCTTTATTCGGTACAATATGCCTGTCTCGACTGATATCGTTACTGATTCGCATACCCTTTCTGGTACTCCCCAGACGGATTGCATCGATTTTGAGTTTGTTTACCTATGCTTTTGTTCCCGCTCCAATCACCGGGCTCACAAGTCCTCTCGCGCTCACATATGCTGCGATACATTCTCAGCCTCTTGCCCTCTCTGCGCGCGGTCTCACTCAGATGACGAACCTCGCGCCGTCAGTAGCGACAACGTCGCTACATCCTAGATCGTTTTCCAGGTCTGGCGAAAATCAGTCGCATCTTCTTCCTTATAAACTTTCGAAGCTTATACTTCATGCCGTCCGCCTCATGATGTCCCTTGCCCTTGGGTTTGGAGGTTGGGTAAGCACTGCTAGAAGCTTGAGAGTGCCCACAGATCACGGAGTGCTAAGGGGGAGCATATACGCTTATATTGTCGGCTTGATTGCAGGAGCAATCGGCTGGAGTGTCCTCGGAGCAATCGAAGGCGTGGTCGCAGATATTGTGGATGCATCCATCATATGCTGGAGTAGCGAGGTTGGAGCTTATGGCAGGGAAGCGAGGTATTGCCGTGAAGCTGGTTGGTTATTTGGTCAGGAACCCAACCCTGAATCTCGCTACCCGGCGTAGCCCTAGTGCTTTGATATCCGATGGCTTACGGAGTGACTGTTCAATGATACGAAGTTATTAGCCACTGTTACCGTGTTTTCTAGCAACAGATTGTTTCGCCTTTATTCTGGGCACTTCAAGGTCATTCATCCATTTTAGCGTGGTTAACATACAGTGTTTAGAAACGGGATGGGATTGGTACTCTCAGAATATGATGATATTATGATACGCTCAATCGCTATAGACAAAAGATAGGATTCTCAAGCAAAGATGTAAACCCGTGGTATCATAAAAAAAAACGCAACGATTGAAGGAAACAAGAAAGAAAGGAGATATGAAGAAATCGTACCATGTACGCCCGCAGCCATGCAAGCAGGATTTACCCTGGATGCTGGGAGCATGGGCGGCCCCAGCCTGGGCTAGCTCTGTGAATAGCTAGCTGGCAACAGACAAAGGGCCGGTCGGAATGTCGATAGGAGTTGATTGTTCATGCAAGGCATTTTTCATAACAAGATAGAAGCAAGCGGCTATATATCAAGCTTACCACGCCAGTTGATATTTTCTCTTGCACACCATTCACTCAGAAGAGCACAACTAAAGCGGACGATTTCAAGCGGCGTACTTGTTTTCCCAAGCGGTAAATATATCTCACCGGAGTAATTTCCGGGTTGCAACCGTTTCTTGCCCTGTTCGCAGTAATTCCTGGCGCGTTTCGACCAAGTCTCGGGGAACTCTCGAGCAAGGATATCTTCCGAGAGGCCGCGAGAGCCATCGAACCACAATCGTTGAGACTCTCTGTAACAATCTGGGAGCCGAGTTTTCAGCTCAAGGAAGTCTTTGAAAGTTTTCTTGTTATCTTCTGGGTGAACGGGTTGCCCGTCGCTTGCTGGGGTGGGAACCGGAGTGTGCTCGCCTGGTATAGGCGTGACAGCAAGACGCTCCAGGTCGAGAGCATGAATAGCATCGTAAGAGACAGCACCCAGTATGAGACAGAGGCTATGAAGGGGTGGATAAGAAAGGCTTTTCTTTTTGACAACCCGCCAGTATGCGATAATAGATAACCAAGTCGACGAATCGCCAATCTGACGTGAAATAACTTTAGACTGGTCCTCCGCAATAAAAGCAAGTACAAAACATATGATAGCCTCAATCGCGGTGGCCGCAGCGAGCTTTTCATCAGTGCTAGCAACCTTGTCTTTGGCCGTATGTCGATCAGCGGCATGTTTCAGCTCTCGGCCCAGGTTCCCATACTTCTGATACTCCTCCTTCCAAGCCCGACGCTCACCATTCCTATCCGCACTGCCTGGCTGAGATGGCGATTGCGTAGTTGCATTTGAAGTTGACAAATCCGCAGGCGCTTTTCGAGGGGCCGGATAAGAATGCCCTTTGACATCATTGCTGACCGCTTCATGTCGGGAGGGATGTTTAAGCTCTTTCGCCGGCGTTAATGATGCTGGCCTTGCTTTCTCCTGTTGTGTTTGGCTCAAAGCCAGCGTCTGTGGTTTCTCAGCACCTGCTAACCGTGGCTCTTTCGAGCGATCTTTGATGGAAGAATTTGCCTGACTGCCCGCCGCATGCTTCGACCTGCCATCTAAATAAGCGAATTTGCTGGTATGACTAGGTGTCGTGGCTTTAGCTTGACCAGGTTTTGTTGAATGAGTCACTTCTCGCTCAACTGCATCTGGCATGGGTGAGCTTTGACGGGACAGCTTCCTCTTCCCAGAAAATTTGAGGAGGGCCTCAACACGCTTCCTGTTCGACTTTCCGTATTTCAGCCTCACAACAAACCGAGGTCCCGATGATGAAGCCTGGATATATTTGGTGCTGGATGGCCGTGATGTTCTGTTATCCCCTTGGGACTGTGAATGGGCATTTTCAACTGTGTGAGAACTAGACTTCGCAGTCTCTACATCTTTTATCACGCTCATCTCAGGCCACGAGCGTGGTGATTTGCTGTAAATATTGGAGGTGCTAGTAGCATTTGTTGATCCCGACTGTGAGGCACCGCGTGCAGACGACTTTTCCTTCTGTGCTTGCAACTTTGCAGTGTCGCTATTCCCAGCGGACTCCGGCTGCGAGTCCGAAGCCAGAGGTTCACTTCCAAGCTTAGCCAGCTCTCTTTCAAGATCTGGCGGCAAGGTAGGAGAGAGAAGTCGAGGTAATCGCGGAGTGCTCGAAACTGGAGGGAGAGTCGGTGACAAGAGCTCTGGAAGCCCACTCCCATTGGATAGTTCTGCTTTGGGTTGAGGTGTTGGAGGATCGGGCGATAACTTTCGTCTCTTCGCGGGCGCGCTGTCTTGAGCCAGCAGGCCCTGACGATCATGTTCACGGTCCGAGGGGCGCTTGCGGTCTACATATTCAGGATCAAATTGAGAGGCGGATTTTGAGGACGGGCGGGTTTTTGGCGGTCTGTGATGGTTGTCGCTATTTGGAATATATTTGGGAGTATGAATATCGTTGGGAACTTGAAGGGTGGAGGCACCCTGATGGCTGGCAGCTTCTTGATTCACTGGTGAAGGCGAAGTACCGTTCTTCCTCTTATGTCTATAATCATGCAGACTGATTTTTCTTCTCGCCGAATTGCTGGATGGCGTACTAGTGGCACTCTGAGGCCGCGAGCGTGGATCGGCCATTACGCTGCCTGTGGCGTCAGACCAATCCCCCACAGCTACCAAGAGAGAATCGCTTTCGTCGTGGGTCAAGAATGTCATATATTGTAACTGTTGTTCCTCCGGAGCGAATGGTCCGTCATTACCCACTGCCCAATTGTTGACAAAGCGGTTGCCGAGTCGAAAGGGCACATCAGTGGGCAGGGTGAGGAGAAAAGGATAGAAAGGGAGGACCTTTTCACGGAGACGCTTCAACCGCCGATCAACCAGGCCTTGTTCGGCTTGCGTCGACCGTCCACGAATAGATGCTGAAGGTCTAACAGAGTTGTCGGTGGAGCGAGACGACATTGCAGTCCTCTCGGTGACGGACAACCACCGCGATAAATCCTAAGGCAAAGGACTCCACAAAGACCTTGAAATAATCTATATGACAGCCCTTTTTGGATATAGAACGAGTCAAATCTGTTCAGAAACTGCAATGCGCTAAGAGTAATTTGCGGAACGTTGGGGTCACACCATAGAAAGTACAACACAGCGAGCTGATGCAGATAGAGGACGCGAACCGTTTATTAAGGTCGCTTTCCCCCCTCCCCCCATTCAAGTCGTGTATTGAGAAGTACTGTTAAGCGCGGGTCGAATCTCATCGCACCAGACAAGCGCGGAGAAAGGCAGCCGTTTCCGAAGCCCACAGCTATGCGTTTGTACCGTGACAATTGTGCGTACCAAGTACGGGATATACAGCAAACGAGGGTGCGTATCACGCAAATATCATAGACAATAAGACGTGCCGCCCGCACAAATAATCAGCAATAATCTGCCCGCGAATGATGGTGAGAAGCTATTGCGGAACGCCTGGGGCCATTGGGGGGTTGGAGCCTCCTCCGCCAGGATAAGTGTGGGAAAATGTGCTCATAAATATCAGATCCAAAAGAAAGAGTGAATGAAACAGTGGAGTAAGCAAATATAGAGGGAAGAAACCGACCTCCATACTCCGTACGAGGGTGTGGCTAAGTAGGGAAAAGACAGCGGGACTCTAGTGTCAGGCGGAGGGAGGGCTTGGCAGCGCCTTACGGTAGCGGTTCCTCCTTGTTCGACCCCGAGTACTCTGTACCGTAGGGCACTCCTGCCTGTGCTACCCTACCTACACTTTGATTTACTGGAAAATGTGGCTCTGCGTGCTGTGGCTGCTCGAAATGTTTCACTCAGCCGAGTCAACGGAGTAATAAGTGAGGAATCGCCTGGCCTTGATAAAGCCCGCAGACCAGTGTCGCACAAAGTCGTACACCTTGACTGTGGTAACCGGCTATTGAAGGATCATCGATTGAGTGCCTCGTAAAATCTATGAGCTTGCAGAGTAAGAGGTAAGAAGTTGCTCAACCCTCACAGTTCAAATGCAACCTACAGCTGCTCAAATTGACTCTGGCTCAGTTCTGACAAATTGTAGAGTTTCTTAATGAATATGAAATGTCAATACTATGTGTTTATTGATCGGGGTCAATGTCCGAGTCGTACACATCTTTTGGCTATGAGCGATCATCGGCCGCAAACTTCTCAAGCCAAAAGGCTCTGTAATGCTTTTGGTTACCGATCCGTGATATCTCGTCCACTTCCTCAGGCGTTAGGTGGAATTTTAGCACATCCAGGTATGTACTCAGGCGAGACTCTTTCCCGCTGGTGGTGATGGACACGGTGCCACGATCAAGTGACCACCTCAGAAGAATTTCTCCCTCGCCAACACCATACTTCCCAGCAAGTTTCGACAACAATGGATCTAAAGGCCCCCCCTTAGCTCGAGTGGCTGGTGTGAGCGGTCCATAACTTGCTGTTGTGATTCCCTTCTCCTCTTGATACGGAATGAGGGAACCATGCTGCAGATACGGGTGGTATTCAATCTGGTTGATCGCTGGCAGGATCTTTGCGGATTGCGCGATCGTCTCCAAATGGCTCTCAAGAAAGTTGGATACCCCAACCGCTCGGGCTTTGCCCGCTTGCTTCACCTTCTCCATAGCCGCCCAGGCATCTTGAAGTTCACTTGGAGATTTGGCGAAAAAGGGCTGGTGTATCAAGTAACTAGGTGCAACGGTTCAAAATCGATGATTAGAAACAGCAGCAAAGGAGTGGCACATACAGGTCAACATAGCTCAGTTGAAGCTTGGCTAAGCTATCATCGAGTGCCTTGGGAATATCGGCAATGTTCTGGTTCACCTTCGTTGTCACGAATAATTTTTCTCGCGGGACACCACACTCTTTGATTGCAACGCCCAACTCCTGCTCCGTACCGTAAACCTCGGCGCCATCCAGGTGGTGATATCCTAATCGGATAGCGGTTTTAACCGATTCAACCAATTCGCGATTGACACCAGTATCGCCCACTTTTTTGAACCAGGCAGTGCCAGTTCCATATCCGATCTGGATCCATTTGATTAGAAAGAGGGTACGCTTGAGGACGGAAGTCTCCATACCACGGGGATCGATGTGCCATCTTTCAATTGCGTGGTGGGAATCGATGTCAAGGTCATGGTTGCTGCAGAGAACTATATGGCAAATCTGGTATCATGGATGCTGCAAGCTACAGCACTGCAAAGATCTCTATCATGTGGAGGCGACTCCGGCCCTTTTATGTACTATGTAGTAGACATACGTGAGCTTGGGTACGGATCGGATCACGGAGTACTGTGCAAGATGATCTCAACTGTGGAGAGCGGTGCCGTTCCGTCCAGTGCGTCCACGCCCAAGCCCCGGGCTGCCGGGCATCATCTCCAATTCTCCATGCTCTATCCATTATTCGCCAATCGCCATAACTATCTCAACAACTGCAGCGCAGATTGCGTCTTTCCATTACTAATTTCAACCCTGCAAATTCCGGTTGTCGGGGGAAGATGGTACAGATAGTACGGAGTACCCTGTAGTATTGGTCTAGACTGCAAAATCATATGTCGTGAGATGGAGAATCAGTGCGGGGTGCACCACATAGATCTGTTGGCCTTTGCCCCTCACTCTAAGGACAGAGGGCTTCAGGACAGGCTCGAAAAACATCTATCTACAGCCATTGCCCGCAAAACAGACGTATATCAAGCCTTCGAGCTAGTAATTGGAAGCTGTTTATTGTGACCTGGACATGATGTCACGCTTGGCTTTGGCTTCTCCCGAGGCTTCGGCGGCATCTCGACTCAATTCATTAGTAACGATGTAAGAGCCGGTTCGAAAATCGGTAATCATCATTTTCACATTGTTCAGCTGACTCCATCACTGCTTTCACCACCACCATTTTCAGTAAGTGCGCGGTTATATGTCTTTTCGCGCGGCTTTTTCGCAAGCAAAGGTCCTCCGGAGCCGTCTAAACAAAATGGCTTCACAAGTTTCCAACACAGAGTCGAGTCACAGATGTTCTCTGACAGAGCTTTCCAAGTCAAATGTATTTACATCCAAACTTCCTCCAGATCCAGGCTTTGAGACGCCTCAGGCGTCTCACAAGGCTCGGAGAGAGAGACTCTACCCGCGCACCGTGAAGGGTGCGGCGTTCACCTTTGTCCGCCCCGAAACAACCGAGGATCCAGAGCTCTTGGGAGTCAGCCCCAGGGCGTTGAAAGACCTTGGGCTGAAGGCTGGCGAGGAAAACACGGCGCTATTCAAGGCAGTTGTTGCGGGGAATGAGTTCTTCTGGGATGAGGAGAACGGAGGGGTATACCCATGGGCGCAATGCTACGGAGGTATATTGTCCAGCATCAAGCTTAACTGCATTATGAAAAGGCCATGATGCTAAAAAAATTTCAGGTTGGCAATTGTACGTCGCATAGACTACCTTACCAAATCCGAGTTATTGACAAAAGGGCAGTGGTTCATGGGCTGGCCAGCTCGGAGACGGTGTAAGTTTGGCAATTCTCCAGACCGGTTAAAGTAACAGACGCTGAACGCTAGCAGCGCGCCATCAGCCTCTTTGAGAGCACAAATCCAAGCACAAACATCCGCTACGAAGTTCAGCTCAAGGGAGCTGGAAGGACGCCCTACTCCCGCTTCGCAGACGGTAAGGCTGTGTTGCGATCCAGTATTCGTGAATATATTGTGTCAGAAGGTATGGTAAGAATACCGCTAGATGGACATGCATTGAGTGATGAAAACATGTAGCTCTCAATGCGCTTGGCATCCCTACCACGCGAGCGTTGTCGCTCTCTCTCTTACCAAGGGCAAGAGTCTTACGCGAACGCATTGAGCCCGGCGCTATAGTTTGTAGGTTTGCTGAATCCTGGCTTCGATTCGGCACCTTCGACCTTCCGCATTCGCGTGGTGACCGAGATATGATCAGGAAGCTTGCAACTTACGTTGCCGAAGATGCATTTAAAGGATGGGAATTCTTACCCGGTGCTGTATCTCTAGGTCAAGATCAACTGGATGATTCCGTGGAGGAGCCTCCCCGAGGCCTTCCACGGGATCTAACACAGGAGCACCAAGGTGTGGAGGAAAATCGATTTGCAAGGCTTTACCGGGAGATTGCCCGACGCAATGCAAGGACTGTAGCCGCATGGCAGGCATACGGCTTCATGAATGGGGTCCTGAATACGGACAACACATCCATTTACGGGCTATCGCTCGATTACGGTCCCTTCGCTTTTATGGATAACTTCGATCCACAGTATACCCCAAATCATGACGATCACATGTTGAGATACTCCTACAAGAACCAGCCATCGGTAATCTGGTGGAACCTGGTCCGGCTAGGAGAATGTCTCGGAGAACTTATCGGTGCCGGGCCCCAGGTCGACGACGAAACCTTCGTGAAGCAGGGAGTTACAGAGGATGCCGCACCGGCTCTCATCAAGCGAGCAGAAACCATCATCGAGCGGACCGGCGATGAGTATAAAACGGTCTTTCTCAATCACTACAAGCACCTAATGAGCAGGAGACTTGGCCTCCAGACTCAAAAGGAGTCGGACTTCCAGGAACTCTTCTCTGAACTCCTCGACACACTAGAAGCGTTAGAGCTCGATTTCAACCATTTCTTCAGGCGCCTTTCAAGCGTGCCTCTCGCTGGACTCGAAACAGAAGCAGGCAGAAAGGAAGTGGCGCCCCGGTTCTTCCATGCTGAAGGCCACGGTGGCATAGGCTACTCCGAAGATTCGGCGCGGGAGCGCATTGCCAAGTGGCTCGACAAGTGGCGCCAGCGTATCCTCGAGGATTGGGGATCTGATGCCTATGCCGACGTCAAACGTCAGAGATCTATGAGAGACGTTAACCCGAACGTACGCAATCCCTTTCTGCTTCTGTTCCTGAACAGCGCAGCTGACTCCTTGCACCTTTAGTTCATTCCACGGGGCTGGATCCTTGATGAAGTGATTGAGCGTGTTGAACGCCGTGGGGATCGGGAGATTCTTGGAAGGGTGATGAATATGGCGCTCAATCCGTTTAATGAGGAATGGGGCTTGAACAAGGATGAGGAAGAGCGGTTCTGCGGAGACGTTCCGAAGTTCCAGAGGGCTATGATGTGTAGCTGCAGCTCATAGAGTGTAAATATAGCCATTTAGGTTCCCTAGGTATATATGTAATAGTATCGTCGTTAATTCGATGTTCGTGACGGGATAGGTCAGTCAGTCACTATAGCTCTCAAGTTTCGACCCGTATTTGGTGAGATAGATTGGCCAAAACAAGAGTGACGGAGAATGAAGGGCATGAGAAGTAAGTATCATTATTGATTTTTCTTCTCAAAAGCTATACATCGCGCACAAATCCACCATGCTCCCTTTTTATCCCCTTTTTCTCTTTTTCATTCGATATTTTTGTTCCCTAAGTCTTCCGCAATACACAAGAGCATCCATCCCATCAATCCATTCATCCACAACCGAAAGAGTAACTCCCCAGTCTTGAAAATAATTACCTGATCTCTAGTGGCTTGAGAGATACACGAGGCAGGAAAGTCGTAAAGGTATGACTCAATAGTACAGGGATATCTCTTAAATAGATATCTTGGTTAACCGACGGGGTTTAAGTCATTTCAGAACCGGGTTCGTAAGGCCAAGGGGTATGACTTGGCCGACGGGTTTGAGCAAACGGAAAGCAAATCGTCATGAAGAGGACGGGCCGGATAGATTACCCCAATACCCTGGTTCACTGCACAAGACGGAGGTGTGACGATCGCAAAGCAGCTGAGCATGTATCAACTAGTTGTTGGGGCACGCGCTCTGGATGTGGCCGGGTTGCTTGCAGTGGTAGCAAACCCGCTCACCCTTAGCCTCTGTGGGACAATCGCGCGAAACGTGGCCATTCTCTCCGCCTGCAATGACCCTGTCAGCATTCGATGCACAAAGTACAAGAAAATATGCGATAGGCTAGGCAAGCAGCTTACAGTTGTAGCATTTCTGGCCTTGAGTGCAGTCACGGGCCATGTGGCCGAAACCGCCACAGGAGTAGCAAGTCTGCTGACGACCACCATAGCCGCCGCCGAAGCCACCTCCGTAGCTACCACCCTGGGGGCAGTTTCTAGCGATGTGACCAACACGACCACACTTGTAGCATTCCTGGCCGCCGGCGGGGCGGTCGTTCTCACCGGCCTGAGGGCATTCGCGAGAGATGTGGCCTACACCGCCGCAACGGTAGCAGGACTTCTCCTTGGGGGCTTGAGTGCATTCACGGCCTAGAACAGAATACAAAATTAACCTCTGATTGAAACGGATTGATTGAAAGCATTGTAACAGGTTCACTCACTGACGTGTCCTTGTCCTATGCGATGAAAACACCAGGTTAGAAGAGAACGATTATTGGGCGCATGAAGAGGAAATTCGCCGGATCACTGGGGAAATAATGATTCATACCACCGCAGTTGTAGCTGTAGGCAGCATGTTAGCAAATGAAGTCATGAATGGATGTAGGGCGAACATACCAGGTAGGGGTTCCCTTCTTGGGACAATCGCGGGCCTATTGTTTGGCATTGTAAGTTTCCACAAAAGCAAAGAAGTCGAGGCCGATGAATCTTGTATTTACCTGGTGGGTGGCCTCGCCGCCTATATTTTCAATAGGTTGTCAGCAATAAATTTTTTTTGCAGGAGTCACAGGGCAGGAGTCGGGAATGAGTCCCCATGCCTGCAACAAAGCATGTGCAGCTCCAACGGGAAGAGAAACTGAAGCAATTGAGAGAGGTTGAGCGGCTCAAAAAGTAGAATATCCTTGTTCCTCTCTCTTCCTTCGTCGAAAGCTTGAACTTAAACATCATGTGTGGGAAAAATTGCAACAGGATAGATTGAGTGGCAATAACATGTCACCTGTCAGATTTTTCGTTGGAACTCACAGTTAAAGCATACACGACCTCCGAAACTCATCTTGGCAGCTGATTGAGAGAATTGGGATCGAAGAAGATTTTTGATGGATAAGAGCGAGTTTTGGAGGGGCGAAGAAAAATTATGCACAAATTTAGAGATTTGCAGGGCGGAAAGAATCTTGATTGCAGATAAACGGGGGAGATATGGTCTCGGTGCGGGGGAACTTTTTAGGCGCGCCCTCGTTCCTGACTTTCTTGAATCTCAAGAGATGGCCTTTCACACTTAGCTCCCGAATGCTCAGACAGTGTGATCAGATTCCATTCATTCCAGAAATGATCTTCTCACTTGGTCTTCACTATGCTCATCACTCTTTCCTCTTATCGAGCCCGGTCGACGGCTTGCACGGAGCTCGGAAGGCTGACGTCTTAACGCCGTTTTGCCAACAGCAAACAGTAAACGGACGCCAGAATATCATCCCATGGTACATTAGAGTGAGTCTAGCTGCTCAACAGGCGTTTCCAGAGATTTTGTGCACGGTCAAGTCGCTGCTGCTACCAGTAGTGAAGTCTGAGCCGATGCGAGCTTCGACCACCTCAATTCAGCAGGAATATGTTAGCCATGATGTATATGTCTATTCATGCCTTGTTTGAAATGTGGAAAATAGACCAAGCAGATGATCATTATCACAACTTCTGGCGTTAATGTGGAAGCACATTTGATGCGGCAGCACCGAGGCGGCATTTCGTAGATGATGACTCAGGGTCACTTTCTCAAATAACAGTATGCATGAAGAAATACTTGTTACAAGAGAGAAGGCAAAAAATGGGTGGATGTTGACCAAAGCACTGTTGTCTTATTAACCACCTTCCAAGGTCCTCAGATCGTCCGGTCTACCTTGGTGGTTCAGGTGCATTCAAAATAGTACTCACAAACGGACGTTGCTACGAAGCGGGTATCTACATTTTATATACACTGTAAATGTTTTAACCAGATGCAGCCTCTCTCCAACAGATACTACTCTCGAACAGGTCATCTGAAGTCATAGAACTCGAGAAGCTGTGGCCCGCATTTCTTCTCGCGGAGCAGAAGCAATCGTTCATCATCAAACCCAATGCAGTCTCGCACTTGCGCCACCATGGGCGGCAATATGGGAGATGGCGATTCCGCCTGGCTGTGGTCACCGGGAAGCATCGCAGAGAGTAAGTTTGAGTCTGGAGTATCTCGTGGGCGCTGTTGAGGGTCAGGCTTGACTTTGATGCTGCTATCGCCGTGCAACACTCGTTGGCTACCAAGTGAAGATACCAACGGTTCAAGCTCCCATATCCGGACTTCATCTCCGTGAGAACTCACGGAAACTGCCTTTCCCCGGTCGCTTACTTGTGCTGCAGAAACGGACGAGGTATGACCCCATAGTCTTCGTGCCCCCTTGACAAATAATCTGCTTGCAGTCGATACAACAAGGAACACAGTCAAAGTATTATCCGCATGCGATGTCAAGAGGTAGGGATGCGAGTATGAAACGGAAGTTGGTGGATCTCGATGCAGTATAGTAGGCATTATCGATACAGGGATCTGCCCGCTCGTCGACTGGGGCAAGCGATCCAAACCCACGCCGTACTGTGTATCCACGGTCGTGGTGAGTCGTGATTCAGTCTGCTGGCCATTGTTGTCAAAATGTAATTCTTGGATTCCTAATGACCAGCCGCAGCCAATGTGGAAGAAGCTGTAGACAATTGAAGCGATTATCCCAGATCCTGTGAGGCGAACAGAAAGCGACATTGGTGCGAGTATGCTATCCGCCTTCAAAGATGCGATAAGATGGGTCTCATCCCCCCAACCATGATCACCAGCTCCATATGGTAATTTATATAGTGACAACACCATGTGCTTGGAAACAACCATAAGGTAAGGATATGAAGCGGCCATGGCCGTGATCGCACATTGAGCAGACGTATTCCGTGGGGAACGGATAATCAGTCGCGAATTAATCGTGTTTAGTTTGTATACGCTGAGCACGCCGTCGTCGAACCCTACGACGACTTCTATACAGTTCTTCTCCGGACCGTAAGTCGCAGTCAGTGCAGTTGGGGCGGCCAAGGGTTGCGACTCCGGGGCCACGAGAGCATGAGCTGCTTTGCACTTTTCCGGGCTCTCCATAGACCACGCGCGAAGCCCTTCGCATGAGTCTGCTGTAAATACATAGCCAGCACAGAGTGTGACTAGCATTGCAGGTCTGGGCGGTTGGGATATCTGGACCTGGGTCACGCGGCAAGCACCTTTGGACCAATTATGCCTGAGCTGGTACTGTCGCTTCCAATTTGTGCCTCCATCTTTCTTATCCAGATGAGCATGGTCCAGCCATGTCGATACCCTAGGAGAATACTCGAACTTGGATGAAGAAAAAATGCGTCGGGAGCTCGCTAATCGCCGTGCGCGGGGGCGTACCCATTTTGTAAAATATTGTCGCTTCCAGAGCTCAGAGTCCACAGCCAGAGCACGAAACCGGTGAGACAATCTGTAACGAAATGTGAGTTATACTTTGCGACAGGCTATTGATAGGAGAAAGTCAGACCTTTGGCAAGTCAGAAGATCCGGTAATGGCAGGAAAGAGAGGATATGGAGCACGATCTCATTACTCAAAGCGGTTATATAATCGACCTGCGGCCCAGTCTGAGTTATGCGCAATCGTTTCGGCGGCAAAGACTGATATAACTCGTCATGATGCCGTTTGGCCATTTTGTGGCGTCCATGGTCCAGGACAGTGGAAAAGTACTCGAAACGCCAGGAGGGACTCGATCATCGTTATCGGTATGGATGTTCTTATCGATAAGCAGTTGAGCTTACCTATATCAGTCTTCACGCGTTCATGTGTACGAGCCTCCGAGAGGTTGGGATTCGAGACTTTGCTCTTTGCCAATATTTCCTTCATTAGCCTGCCGAATGGAGACCCTACACAAACTTCAGTTATCTCTTACTCAGGATTTCAAGAATCATTTCGACACTGCTTACTCGGATATCAATGCAGAAATCGCCGCGTACAACGCGCGCGTTAAAAATGCTGAGGAAAGAGCCAAGATCGCCGAAGAGGCTCGCCAGAGGGCGGCGGACGAGTTAGACATGTTAAGGCACGAGGTATTCCTTCTACGAGAAGAACTACGACAGGATGAGGTCAATTCAAAAGAGGCCGAAAATGCCGCTGAAAGCGCGCTTCGATTGGACGAGACATACGAACCGGGGCGCGTCCTTGGGAACAAGGAACTTTCAGCTATTGAAACCGCAGACTTGAGAAGGATTAGCGACAGATATATCGAGCTGTACGGGCAAGCTGCGGTAATCGTTCAAGCTTCAGGAAATCTCAAAGACTTAGTTAAACGCCACAAAAACAAGGTAACCCGCTTGAAAGCGCTTCTTCAACGTCCAGGGCCTTCCTCCGCGCCTGACGCTGAGGCTATCAAACACCAGCGACTCTCTACGAGGCCGACTACCTCACCGGTGCCTCTTGGATCCCCATGCTCTATGGCCAACCCACTGAAAGACCCGGCCAGGGACAAAGCAAACGTCTCATCTGGAGAACCTGCCCTTCCTACAACTGAGGTGGTACCGGAACAAGACAGCAACATAACTAGAAATGAGCATAGAATTTCAAACCACAGGCGACTGCAAGGGAATGGTCCAGATTTATCATCCACGTCATCAGACGCCTCAACAGAGGGATTACCGCCTATCAATGGTGCTACTACAAATGCACAGCTTGAACAATTAAAACTAAAGCGTACTGCTGCAGGGCAGACGAAGTCAAAGGACAATTGGACCCTTGAAATTTCAGGGAAAGGAGGCCCAGCTCATCCTATCATGGTCAAAAGTGAGACTTTGTCATCTAGCCCTCTGATGGCTCCTTCGCCTCAGCCTGTACCGCCTGGAACTCAGGATCTGGATGACGTCGGTGACACTGTCGTTACTCCCACGAAAAGAATCCGATTCTATAGGGACCAAGCTTACAGTGCCACTCCCAAGCATCCCCAAAATAGCTTGCGATTGGCATCGGGGCGACATGCGCCCCATCTTAACTGTGCAAGCAAGGGGAATAATCGCGTGTTGAGCGTGCTTCGACCTGTCGATGGCAACTTACGGAGCTCGAGTACTGGGCAAATGGCAGATAAAAAGCGGAAAAAGGCCCTAGGCGCCACGAGGATATCTTCGATAACTGAAGATGGCGACGAAAACCGGCCACTATCGTGGATAAGAGGCACCAAACCACCCCAGGGCGATTATGCGCGAGACCTGTCAAGAGAGCATCGATTATCGGACCTTCTCGAAACAACATCGCCAGCGAGCCGAGCGTTGCAGTCCAAAGTGGCTACTAATGTTTCTGCAGCCACTCCGAGCCGTGGTTTACACTCGAGTGTGAGAGGTAGCTCGATGACGACTGGCAGCGAAACAGGAGCTACATCCGTCACAAAACTGGCAACCTCAAATTCCTCACAGGGTAGCCCTAAGCCGACTATGCGCGAGAGCTATTGTGACAAATTACAGCATCGATCAGAACGCCTAAGCCAGCTCGAAGCAATGCCCGACGACGAGCCATACAGAGCCCGCCCGCCTCAGCGACTCGGTCTCGAACACTTCAGAATAAATCCAGAATACAACAATGGTCTGGACTACGCTTATGACACGGTTATCCGGAAAAGGGACGAGCGCAAATGCGCCAGTGGCTGCACGCGTCCTGGTTGCTGTGGGGAGAAGTTCTCTGCCATGGCACGTTTTGGCATTCCCGTGGATGCGTCAGGGAAAGCAATGAGTGACCGTGAGATACTAGAAGAATTCTTAGGAGAAGACAAGAACGCCATTGACATACTTAGCTCTGAGTGCCGTGATGGTCTTCTAGTCGAGGCAAAGGCCAGGGTTTTTGCCAACCAGTTTGGTAAGCACAGGCACCAACACCACAAACCGGGCACACCCCCTGGGTTCTGGCGCACAGGAATGCCCGGTACACAGGAAATAGAAGAGGATCGCGAGGATGCACGGAGATTGGAGAGGGAGAAGGTGCAGGAGCGCTATCGAGAAGCATTGCGTCCCAACGGGCTATGGAGGTTCGCAGATGAGTGACAGATGGCCACTATCTCTGGGTGTTCACTGTAATACACCCTCTGGCCTGCATATAATAAATTCTGCCTGTCCTGGTATCCATGTTTTAGACCCATTAAAACTCGGACATTGGCCATGGCCAATATAAAAACCATTTTACAAAAAGTACTTTTGGGTTTTGGTCATGGTCCACAGTACTAGTTCCTAATCGTGGACATGTTCTATTATTCCAATGGCGCCGGTCACTATGGACCATGCCCATGCCCACCTGCTATAGTAGGAAGACAAAGTGGCTATTAAAACAGGTAATTATTGGTTAGATGCAGGCCAGAGAGTAGATATGTATCTTTCTCACCCAGATATTGTACAGAGAGGTATGTCGTACCGCATATTAGCGTTGGAATTTCAGCAGATAAGGCGTCAAGTCACAGAGACCTGGAGTGTGAATGGTGTCTTAACCATGTCAGATTCTCGGAAGGCCTTTTGTTATAGGTCTCCAGTGCTACTATATCTGTAGGTATACCTCGGCATTTGTCGTTGCTTGGCGAAGGTAGGTACGACACGTGCTGGCGCTCCGATCCCGGAACTCATCACTCCTGTTGACAACTTCTCACCATCTAACCAAATCACTTGTCTGTCGCTTTCAATTTCATTGTGTATTCGGGGCCTTTCAAATGTGCCTACACTTATCTTGGTATAGAAGCCGTCTGGATGTCTAGAAATCCGGTTCCTGCTGTCCTCCTACAGCCATCCAAGTGGTTGCCACTGTATGAGGACTTCGTGACCAAGAACGCCAGCTCAATAGGACAGGTTGAGTCGGCGCTTAGGTCGCTGACGTATATTATTCCAGGTTAGTTGTCTCTATATCCCGCTCATTTGAAACTGATGCTTATCTCACCAGGACGCTATCGCGATTCAGAAATACCTTCAGAATGTGGTAAGTGGATTTGCGCCGACCTTTCCGAGCGCGTGTCTAATCATGCGAGCCCAGTCCACTCAGGTGTTCAGTTGCTATCGCTGTATCATGACTCTTTAATATCGAGAGTCATATCCAACCTACCGCCAAACATCAGTCGACCGACGCCTACTCCGCATGCCCGATACACCAAGTACTGGTCATCACAGTCACCTCTATATCAAAAAGTAGCACTCACTCTCCAGACTATCCAATACACGGAACTACTATGGGAGATGGTCGCGCGACGCCGCGGCGAGAAGGTCCGTTGGCGCGTTGTCGTTTTCATCGAGGTCGTGAAGGCGATTTGTCGCCTATTCCTACTGCGCCTCACGAACTCGCGCCCGCTAGTCAGCCCACCGCTACCTGAACGCGAAATAGACCCTAGGTCATCAGAACCAGACGAGGGGGATTGGAATGGGATGGAGTCTCCGGTCAGCGAACGGCCCTCTGACCTTACCTGGACCATGCCTCGCACTGGACTTTCGCTTCCATCTTTGCCCGACGCCAACGATGTTTCAAATTACCTCATCTCTAAAGTCTTGACATCGGACGATATCAAGCCTCCGAAAGCTCTTCTGCACAGGGTAACTGGTCAGGGTCAGTTGGCAGAAGTTATGCATATTCTCCGGCCGGTTGTTTATGCTCTGGCGCTCCAGAAATGGAGTCAGGATAAACGGAGCTGGAGAGCTTGGCTGATTGGCTTTGGAATGGAATACGGTTGCCGGCAGTTGGCCAAGGCCGACTTCCGGGAGAGGGTCGCTGGCGGCCTCCGCGGACTGACCGGCCTCGAGAGAGAGGAGCTGAAGAAGAGGGGTTGGTCGATGGGTTGGTGGTTGATGCGGGGGGCATTTTATGAGAACATCATGAAGTACGTCATTGCCCCAAAATCAAACACAGACATACTGACGTTTGTAGGTCTACACTGAAAGGATTCACCAACAAGATGAAAGGAAAGCCACTTCTTGACCTCGTGGGCAGCATCATTGAGGATTACGAATATCTATGGGACAACTACTACTTTTCATCAGCTACACTTTGATTGCCCTTCAGGTGCGCGTTTGGATTTGAATGCCATCTTAATGAAGCAGATACCCGACAATTATCTTGACGCCTTATAGGGTTCAAAACCGCAAGGTCTCCCCAATGTGTCTTGATTGATATTAATATACATATATGAATGGTTTCATTGATAGATGGAGCATTAACCCGAAGGCTTGCCCAAAATTCTATTCAAGCAGGGGGTCAGTGGGTACGACGTATATCGAAAACTCGGCCGAAGGCGCCAGTGTCAGCTCCGAGATGGGTTCGTGCACTGGCATCTTCTAGAGCAGGTCAGTCTAACCACAGCACAAGACCGGACGCGGACATCATGCCATGTCGGGCCGGGATACCACACATCCTTGAATTTACGAGCCAAGGAGGAGGACACAGTCGATAGCAGAGCCGCTATCGTTCATGTAGTATGTGGACGAGGAGGAAGAGTCGAGCTTCTGGTGGAGGTAGCAGGCGCGATGGAGGAACGTTCTTCTGGATGTTGTAGTCGGAATGGGTATTGAGGTGCATGGAGGGGAAGGAAATTCCAGGACGCCCAGGGGCGTATATACAGCTTACGGCTATCTAGTCCGGGGCTCGTCATATAATTTCGTCATTCAGGTCCAGCTTATAGAGGTTGTATAGCACTAGCTTATCAATGTCGAAAATCGCACAGGATGGGTTGAGGTTACACAGTGCGCTCATCGAGGTGGTACAGAGCTCATCGTAGACACGAGGATGAGCCTTGGCCAGTAAGTCCATACTCGCATCCGCATCTTTCTAAGAGCGGTCTTTTGCACATTGGGGTGAGATACGTATATCTTCTTTCCACATAACATCAGAACAGCGCACATCCTACTGCTAGTGCTCTATCAAACTGGTAGAGCACAGACCTTGGATTACTCTTAGCACCTACCGTATAGCGATGCTTGCTACTTGTATCTAGTTTTGTGCTGCAAAACACATACATGCTATGCCCACCCAGCCTGAAACAGCTTGTAAAAAGAGTTAGAGAATACTGTAAGCCTTGAATATTCAGTGCCGAAGAATCGTGAAACGTAATTTGCAATTCTTAACCATTCCACGAAATGAAATCCGTCATGGCAGTGTCGATGGATGTCCTCGATTCTCTTCTTCTTCCCTCGCCCAAGCAGAATATCAGTACTTTGCAACGAGAGATACAAACTAATTCTTAAACTCTTTCAAAGACCGACCTTTGTTGTTGACATACCATCCTGTTTCCTCAGCATGGCTTCAAACTGGCTTGTCTCCTTCTATGCGCGGGCTTCTTCATCGAAGAACAGCGAGGAGGCGGAAGTATCATGGCTCCGCCTGGGCCTGAGGTTTGCATGAGTGCGGTACGTGGATAAATATGACAAGCTTCCCGAGGACGAAGACATTTACTTCATGCCCTTTGTCCATCATTCCAACTTGGCTTTGAACAAAGTCACTGTGAAGCAATTTGATAACCTTTTCGCCCTTGCCGGGGATATTTTAATTAACCGGTCATGCTGGTTCTCAGCAAATATAACAGCGTAACTAACAACAAGGTAGCTCTAGCAAGTTATTTCCAACCGCTTATTAATAAGGTGCAGGTGCATATTAGAGTCTGTGAGGCTAAGGCCAAAAGGTTCCTTGAGTACTTTGTGAAGAGGTTGGTGCAGGTTCTTAATAAAGAAGAAGGGACGGCCTGGTTGCAACTATTGGTGTTTAACTTCAAAGCAACTTAACAGTCACAAGCACAAAAGGCATACTAAGGGCAGATCATGATTTTGCCGGTACTGCAACCATTGTTTCGAGACTTGGAAAGACTATCAAGATCGTCACGATAGGGATGCCATTTGCAAGCAGAACCCTAAACACGTTCCGCGTACCTACCGCAAAGCCTTGGTCTAAGCGCGGTGAGAATACTGCGACCAAGAGACATCAGGCTGAATCCAACGCCAGCGCTTCGAACAACGCCATCCCGCACTACTTCCAGGTACGCGAGAATATCTGGAGCTTTCCGAGTATTGATCTTGCGAATCCCGTGGTATACCGCGCGAGTTAGCTAGAAAATCACTAATTGCTCATGAAATTTGGTGTAGGCAACCAGCAAAGGATGGCCAAACAGAGCCCTATATGGTAAGCTCCCCTGGCTTCTTCCAATAGCTCACAAGCTAACACACCTGACGACTCGGGACACTCAGCCCAAGGACTTCAAGATTATCTTACACTGTTCCACGAGTTCACCTATCCTATTGTGCTGCACGCGCTACCAAATAGCAAGGAAGCCGATGAAGATGATGGTTTAAATTAGTTTGCCAAATGCGCATATTATGGGTTCACGCGGGAATACGAAGTACCTACTCAAAACTTAGCCAAAGCTGAAACGCTTACGCAGATCTTAATCACTAGATAACAAGAACAAAGTGCGGGAAATAAGCTTAACCTGTCAGTATCAGACTATGAACCGATGTATTCTCGTCGGAAGAGGGCATATTGAGACCCACAAGCAACTGCTGGCATTATTATCAAGGTCGCCGACTCTCCAAGGACGAGGTTTGCTCGAGCATAACGACCTTTATTATAATAGTTAAGTTGAAGACTTGTCAAACAAGCCTATTCAGTACGCTGATGCAGCAGAGGCAACCCTTAACACCGCGGTTGGTTGATCTTTTGTTAAGCGAGACAGCTATGATTTGAGGATAGGTGCCCGATACCTATGGTAAGATAGGGTCGTCAGGAGAAATAGATTCCTGTCCTTTGTTCTTCAGCGCTATACTAATATGTCATGGTACGCACACTTGCTTCACGGGCAGCCACCTTGTCAATCACTTCAACCAGGCGCTTGAAGCTAGGATCAGCAAACTTGTTAGTCCAAAAACTTCTGTTGCTGCAGACCGTTCTCATCTAATCAACCAAGCAGACAGAAAATCACACGCGAGAACTGTGTCGGAGGTACTTGATAAATGCATGTCGAGTGCCAGGCTGATAGAGATACAGATCAAGGAGTGTTTGATAAATTTCTTGCTTGCTTGCTATTAGATATTGCACATGTCTGTGTACCTGCTAAGAATAATTAGTAATATTTGTCGCGAGTTGGCAGGGAAGAGTTAACCTTAGCTATTTATGCTATTATTCCATTGGGAAATTAGTAAAGTTGACCTCGAGGCCCACACGCCGCCCTCACGCTGCCCTGCACACTGCTACTTAGGGCTGCAGCTGTAACATTGTATACAATTATTCTGTACTTGGTAAAAGTTTATGTATGCAGAAAGGTGTTATTATTTTTTAATTGGGTTAATAGCTTAGTTTGGTAGAGCAAGCGGCTGCAGCTCTTGTTGTTTCCGCTGCGTTTAAATCACGGTCAGACCTATATATTTGAATATTTTTGCTTTTATTCATACCTGTTTGGTAAAACCATTTTGTAAGACTGCTCACAAATGAGACCTTGAACTACTGTACGGCCCAGCCTCTTCAGACCAGAACACTACATACAAATTTACTAAGATCCGTCCGTTCTAATAGCCACTTTGTAGTTTGTACTAATATACAGACGTATGTACGCACGGCCATGTTCCATAGCATGTTCTATGGGTAGGTCCGTGATGCTAACCCGTGTCCATTGGTCCAAGTTTTCTAGACATCATATCTACAAACCATGTTTGTATGCCATTGACCCTGTCCGTTCTTTGATACTTGCCCCATTCTGATAATGTATGGACATACTTTATAGCATGGATACCTGACAGGAAGAGCCCAGAGGTTGTTATACCACCCCTGTCCTAGTGGTCATCAGTCCACCATATAGTACTAGATGACTCTCCACCAACCGATCGGAAATAGATTGCTATTCCCCCTTCTTATCGAGCCACGTTGTAGCGTATCTTGTGTTGTCAAGGTGATCCGATTTCTAACTTACAGGAGCCAAGCCTTAAGTGGAACGCGCTCCGCGAGTCGGGACGCGTCCTTTTAGGCGACCATCAACCCTGTACATCATCTACTTTTATTGATCACAACCAAACTAAACCCAAACTCAGGTCACCCCATCGAGGCCGAATCCCAACCGTTGGAATGGAAGAAGCTATGTCAATCAGTCCAGAGCCCGCCGCGATCGACCCATCAATATTTCTTCCCCCGAGCATAGACAAACCGCGGCTGCTCGCCGGCGAATCCTACGCACACTTCTCGCCGGCCCCGCCAGCAATTTCTACACAAACAACGACTACAGATACAGAATCAGACTACCTTATTCTCGGTGTCGATGAAGCCGGTCGTGGCCCCGTCCTCGGGCCAATGGTCTACAGCGCCTTCTACCTTCCCAGTTCCCTGCACCACTCGCTCCTGTCAAAAGAACACAACTTCGACGATAGTAAAGTCCTTACCACGGGTGTTAGGGCGAATCTCATGCGCATTCTTTGTACAAAGGGCTCGTCACTCTACGAGTCGTGCGGATGGGCGACGAAGCTCCTCTCCGCGCGGGATATATCGTCAGGGATGATGCGGCCTGCAGCAGGCGCTTACAACCTGAATGCGCAGGCAATGGATGCAACAATCGAGTTAATCAGAGGCGTGGTGGAAGAGAGGAAAATGAATGTGCGCGAGGTCTATATCGATACGGTGGGAAACCCGGCGAGTTACCAGAAGAAGCTGGAGATGGTGTTTCCATCGCTGAGGATCACTGTTGCAAAGAAGGCGGACTCGCTGTATCCTTGCGTTAGTGCGGCGAGTGTGGTGGCGAAGGTTACGAGAGACGTCGCGCTGGAGGTGTGCTATGAGACTTTCCAGGAGACTGGAAGGGGTGACGATGGTTGGGGGAGTGGGTATCCATCGGATTCCAAGTGTGTGGGGTGGTTAAGGAATAATATGGACCCTATCTTTGGATGGGGGAATGAGTGTCGGTTCAGCTGGGGGACGGCCAAGGAGATTCTCGAGGCCAAGGGCGGAGAGAAGGTTGACTGGCCAGTGGAGGAGGACAATACGAAGCTTATGGATTTTTTGCTGGCGGCTGGTGGTAGGGGCCCGGAGCAGGAACTCCGTGAGTGGTTCGGAAAGAAGACTGCAGAAATTTTATGAGCCTTCAGGTAGTTACACGAAATAATGTGATGATACTTTCCACATGGTCGCTTCCCAGATATATTATATCACAAAGAGGTATTTGCAACGGTTGACCCGTTTAAGGTTTACTCTATCCCGAGGTCCGCTCTGCGCCAGTCCCCTTTGGAGCTAGCGCTCCATTATCCACCAGTTATACGCGGTCTGCTGTTGATTAGTCTGTGTAGCACATTATTGAAATACTAGGACTCCGTAGGAGCAACTCTCGAGACTCGACCAGATGTCTTCACACTGCCAGTTCCGATGGATTGATATGCACAGTTATTGTCCTCTCGGGATTTGACTTTAGCAGCTTGCTTGACTGGACTGCGTGTGGTTCCTATCCTCCTTGGTCACGAAATCCAGGTTCAGTCTAGTTAAATTTATCGGGCTATTGTCTGTTTACCAGCATCACTATAGGTGTCTGCTAACATGAGGCCAACACCTGCCACAGAATCATGACAGATCCACTCAGCTTCAAGCCGAGTGATAGTTCTGTAGCCTTAGAGCAGCTAGCTAGCTAGATGCCAGCAAATAAACAAACAAAGAGAAGAAGTTGAAAGAACAGGTGAATACATACATACTGCCGAGTGCGGAACGCGTCTCGAACCGTTTTGGACTAGCGCCCTCCGCGTGTCTTGAATTCCGAGTCTCCTCGAGCTTCCTTTCTCCCCAAGCTCAATTTCCACTCACTATTCCTCTTTCACCGACCATTTATTTCAAGTTCCTGGTCTGTAGGACGAGCCGCGTCTGGAACCGAGCTTGCTACCCACGATATCCGTGAAGACCGGCCGCTGAGACCACCTTGAATAATCGCGATCATGGCTCCTCGGGCCTCATTGAAGGCTCGTGACTTCGATTACTCGAATGTCGGGAAAGCTGGAAGGTACATTTTTCTACTCTACTGCTTGTACCCAGGGTCTGCTGCGCGATCGACTAACTATCAACAGACGCACAGGCATCACTCTTGCGGAAGGCAAGCGGGATGAACATGGAATGGAGGAAGTCGACGGAATATTCTCATCACCAGAAAAGTCGCCTGTGCAAGTGAATGGCTTCGAAAATAGCGAGTCAATAGGCTCCGACATGTCCATGGACGAGGGTATGTCTCCCCAACCCACCAAGGCAATGAAACTGAGCACCAAAGGCAACGGCCCCGGCCCCGCTGACTTCCTCAACGGCGTTAACGGATCACGTACGCCTCGTTTTCCCCCGCCCGTTGCACGATCGCCATCAAAGTCTGGCATGACCGGATCTCCGCGCAGGACTCCCGGTCTGCGCTCTTCCCAAAGCCCGCAGCGCGACCTCCCATCGTCTAGCCCGTCTGACGGCAGGAGCGTGCGAAGAGACTCGCGACGGGACCTGTCCCCTCTTACCGACCGCTCCATCAACGCCACGCCCTCACTAGAACACTCACACCCTGCGCGCACCAAGGGGTTGAAAAAAGCAGGAAAGCAAGCGCAGATTAATTATTCCGACAGTGACGCCAACGCCGACGAGAATGGAGACTCGATGGATCAAAGCGGGTTTGTTGGTGGTTTCAATGCCGGCGACGATACCATGATGGGTGACAACTCCGATGAACCTGAGGACAATAGCGCCGAAGAAGGACCGCCTCAGAAACCCGCGCCCGAGAAGCGCAAAGGGCTAACAAGGGGCCGCAAGCCGGCAAGAGCCGCGAAAACAGTACAAGCCAGCGCATCACAAGATGCGACAGAGAAACGCGACACAACACAGAAACGAAAGCGCGCCGGACGACCGCCCAAAGCGCGACCCCAACCCATGGACGATACCCAAGAACAACGACCGCAGAAGAAAGCCAAAACATCTGCGCCAAAGCGCTGGATCTCGGGCCCTTCAGGCGACCCCGAGCTGGACAAGGTGGTGGAGAGCCATATCAACCGGACTGGACCACTCAAGCACCGGAGCCTGTATATCCTCAAGCGGGAAGCCCCTACAGATTCATCTGCCACGCACACCCGATCTGGACGTGTATCGGTTAGACCACTGGCCTACTGGAAGAACGAGCGCTGCGTATATGGTGATGAAGAGGCAGCCGAGGGACAGCGGTTCCCCCTTTCGAAAATCAAGGAGATTATCCGGACCGAAGAGCTGGAGCCGGAGAAAAAGAAGAAACGCAGGACCAAGAAGGCGAAGTCAAAAAAGAGCAGGGATGACAGCGACTCCGAGGATGAGCAGTACCGCGACCCCTACGAAGAGAAAGGGGGTGTTTTACATGGTTATATCCGGAAATGGGACAACGAAACACAAACGGCCCTAGACGATGAAGAAGTGTTAGGTATGTGTCCCCCCTGCTCAACTGACAATAAGCCGTACTAACAGACCCAAGACATCGCATACGCCCCATCAGGTATCGAGACTCGAGACGTCAAAGGCGCATCATTCAGGTTCGCCAAGCTTTTGAGCTCTCCCTTCATCGGCTCAGGCATCGTCGAACTACCCCCTGGCGGAGTCAAGAAACCCAAAAACGCAAAGAAAATGCATATGATATTCTACGTTGTTAATGGGCGAGTCCTAGTAGATATTTCTGGCGTCCAATTCAGTGCAGGCAAAGGATGCGTCTTTCAAGTTCCTCGAGGTGAGTATTGTCTGTCATTAGTAAGCTGTTCTAGGTACATGGCTAAATTTTTTAGGTAATTACTATAGTTTCGCCAACACATACAACAAAGACGCCCGTTTGTTCTTTACACAGGGCTGTGTCCCTAGCTCGGCGGATGGTGACGATGCTCCTGGCTCTGCCTCCAAAACCGATGCGCTTGACGGCGAGTCAAACACTCCACCAGCACGCCCTAAGGGGCAGAAGGCTACGGCCGGCAAGGGCAGACCCAAGGGAAAGCAGAAGGCCACTGTTTAATATGAAGAGGCGCATATCATCCTCCATGTCCTTTGATTCTTATCCGGCCTTACCGACTTACCACTCATATTTTTGCATACCGTCATGTACCACATTCCAAAGTGTTAGCCTTCTTGCTGTAGTCTCGACACTGTCGCGTCTGTTTTGGTTTTAGCGATGTCTTCTTGTTACCCCGGTACGGTGTTGGTGTATTTATCTATCAATGTCAATACCTTTATACATTCTACGTTGCATGCGTTTATGACAGCGCAAGTTAGGAGGGTTCAGCAAGGCAAAGAGACAGATAGCATACTTTTGATGATGATTGCCCCGATCTAAGCTCTCTACTATATCTCCTCCATATCCTCATCTAACTCATCATCTAGGCCTAGCGGTGGGAAATCTCCGACCTGCACCTTCTCCGGCTTCACAAAGACTCCGCTCTTATTCGGGCACGTGAAGTACCGCTTTCCATTGACGCTCCCGTCGTTCTTCCCCGTCGGCTCGTCGAGCTCGATCCCAACCCAGATGGGCAATGCAGAGGCGTCAACGGTCTCTATGTCGACACCGGGAACCGGGATTGCGGGAACAGGGCCGACGAAGCGGATCGTGCCGCGACGAATATGGGGTGGTGAAGAAGGAAGGATGATTGCCCGGCTTGAGACGGAAATTTCTGTATCGCAGCAATGTTAGCACCGCCATCCGCCCGGTCCCCGTCTTTGTCCACTCGCGGACCATAGAAGTCAACAGACAGAAGGGCACATACCGCGCTTATCAACCACCTCGCTATCTTTCCTCGCCTGCTCAGCTATCGCTTCAACCGGCGATAACACATTCGGATCGAACCGGCCCAGCTTCTGGTTCTTCTTCCACGCCAGGACCGAGTTCGGCAGACTCTCGTAGGTCTCGGTGGGCAAGACGTATTTCTCCACGGAGGAGAGGTCGGTGATGTTCACCCGTGCCGCTTGGGGGCGTGTATCGTGGACCTATCCAGCTCATCAATTAGAACAGAGCCACTCTTTTATCAATGGGTCGGGCCAGCCGTACCTCAATCTCACATCCCCTCATCAATCCCCACTCCCCAATCGTCGTGTGATCGCCATCAAGCCATTGGTCTGCGCGGCCGGGGGTCTTGAGATGAAGCCTTTGGCTGCTGGGTGGGATGCCGGTCATGGTCTCGAGCTTTGACTTGACTATTTCGATGGTCCATGTTGGGGTTATGCGGCGTTCTGAGTGCAGGCGGGGTTCATCGGGGGGGTTTGATGTGGACGGGGTAGTGATTGCGACCGGGATATCGGCTGGTGTTGGTCGGAAGGACATTTTCGGATGGGTTTAAAGACCTGGTAGTTGTTGTAAAGCGGAGGATGCAGGGGGTAAGTGGTCTGATGCTTGAGTCTGGTTGCGAACTATATGGTGAAGGCGGCGTGGTGAGAGTTAGATATGAGGGATCTGAGTGGAATTCTTAAACGTAGTCAGTAATCAAAAGTAACAAAAAGCTTAATCAAAGCAGATCGAACGAGATGGCAATTGTTGCGGTGCGGGGAGCAATTGGAGGATCGGATCTTGCTTTGAGGATCTTGAGTCATGGAAGTAGTACCACTCCAAGATATGGTTCGAGCTGCAGAAGGAAGGCATCATCACGTACAGCAATTGGATACGAGAATCGAGTGCAGTTAGTTCTACTGGGTCTGAGAATGATGGTCTAGGGATGCGGGGCTTTGATATTCGGATTGACCAACCAGAAGCTTGTTCCTGGAGCCGTATCCTGGCTTCTCTCATCAAGTAGCACTGCATATAATATAAGTCTCTGTACGGTATAATCTATAGATCCACTAACCCCTACATAAAACACGACGCAAAGTTAGTATGTACAAAAAGAACCCCTCGACATCAAAGTCCTCCCGTATACTCCCTTCTCAGGTCCACTTCCAGTTGCGTTGCCCTGGTGCCTGCCCCGGGTCACTATCAACACCAGCAGTAGAAGTAGGGACTGCCGGTGGGGATCAAGCTCGGCCTTCTTCTTTCCCTCTAACTAACCCCGTAGCGCTTGAAGGCTTCAATGCATTTGCTTGAGTGCAGATTGCTCCCCCTACCTGCTTAGGAGCCACTGATGGTGCCTTGCTCGACTCTGCCTTAGTCGATGCTGTCGCAGCACTACCTGCTTAGGTAGATTTACCACCACCTGATGCCGATGGTGCCTTTCCCGGCTTTGGAGCTGCCACGGCAGCACTTCCAGCACCATCATCAGCTATGCCAACACCATCAGCTATGCCAACACCATCAGCTTTGCCAGGGCCAGCTCCTTTGCCAGGGCCAGCTCCTTTACCTGGTTGTGCTTTCTTTTTCCCGCCTCCACCTCCATCACCACCATCCCCATCCCCATCCCCTCCATCCTCATCCCCATTCCCGGCGCCTCCATCATCACGCTTTCGTTTTTTGAGCTTAATGATCCCCGTGCCTTCCCAAGTCTCTCCAGTTTCTTCTGAGGTAATCGTCACAGCAAATGTGGCGGGCTGAACTTTCTTGCCGCGACCCAATTTGATAAGCTTCTTGTCCCTGGGAGTCTCTAGATGCCTACCAAAGTTGTATTGAACTAGGCCTGAGTCTGAGTTGATGATGATCTCTTGGTCCAAGTAAACACCCATCTTGGAGTTCTTTGGAGGGTCTCCATTGAGCGGAAGTCGCCGATAAGCAAGCAACACAGGTAGTTGAATTGTGTTTGTGAACGTGCTCATCACCTGGGCTAGTGTAAGATCCGGTGACACCTGACCCCCGCTGACGCGAGCCCATGTGCCTGTAGGCTGCTTGATCACACACACGTTGCGTTCATCTTTGGGAGCAACAGGAATGGCCTTGCGGTAAGTGAATACGATGGAATAGAGCTCATACTTGACATCCTGTGCCTTGGGGTCGGACTGCATTCCACCTGGAATTGTCAAGTGTTCTTTCAATTCGAGTTTACCGTTCAGCCTCTGACTACCACTACCATCATTCTTGGTCTTTATATGCTGGGCTCGAACGAAAAGGACCTCTGGGAGATGACCGAGCTTCGTGGTAGTGGGCTTGGAATCCTTGGTGACTGTGTCGCATTTCTCACACTTCATCGAGACGGACTTGGCTGCTCCATTCCGCAGGTGAGTCTCAATCGCTTCGTGGACTTGGTACAGAGGTAGGTCAGTAGTTGTATCTTCGTACTGGGAGGTCAAGAGGAAATGCTTGACTCCTTTTAATTCCGCATTCTTGCACTTCGGACAGGTGTGGCGATTGACGAGCTCGACCTTGAAATAATCTTCCAGTTCCGCGAGTCTCTTGGGATCTGCCACACCAATCTCAGACTCGAGCTGCTCGAAGAATCTCCTCGTAAAAATACGGCAATCCTCCTCATCAGTCGACTTCGCGTACCTGCTGCAGGTTGTTTTAAGCAAAACATCCCAGAGAGCCTTCATGCAATTTTCGTCAGTTCCCACGTTCTTATTTCCGTGCCAGTAGAAATCAACCAAATCTTGGAAAGTGCTGAGCAAGCTCGGTTTTCTCAAACCGCCCGCTTTACTAAGCTGGTATGTTACTTCGGCCATCCAATACACCAGCAGCGGGGTATGGACAAGCATGACCATAACGGCGTTCCTGTAGCTGAGTTTGCCGGGATTCTTGAACTCTCTGGTCATGAGCGCCGGGTAATTATCATCCCACTCAGACCGTACGCAAGTTCGATTCTGGACATGGTCAGAAATCGACAATGCATGCTAGATCTTGGTAGGGTTCGACTCACTCCATCTTTTCCGTCTTTCCCTTCCCCGTTATTTGCGCCAATAGCTCCAAGCTTCGTCGAGCTCGTAGTTGAGCTAGTTCTTGAGCTTGCCATACTGTGATCTTGTCCCAGGGTATGCTACGCGCAGCGTGCGGTCTGGAAATCCGAGTTAATATTAATTGCAGTGGCTCGGTAGGAGCAAAAGAGACGATGTCGATGTCGATGTGTAAACGAAGGCATTGCTGCGATGCGTTGATGTCTGAGTATATAAAGATAATGGCGGCCGTCCTTGTGGGTAGAGAACTCTTTGAATGCAAGGGTCTCTCTCATTGTCGTGCTGCTGACAGACATGGTGAAGCTTTGAATGTCTCAAAAGATGAATAACTTGAAGAAGGTATGCCAAACGGTCAAAGGGTTGCCAGATCTATTTGTAGCGAAAGATGTTTTTAGGTGTTGCAGAGACCGAAAATTGATGCTAGTTCTTTAGTGGATGTGTGTCAGTGTTGAGAGATTCAAACACAACAATGGATATGGACAACAAAGACAGCAGCAATTTCGGTCCACTGACCTGCGACTCTAGACAAAGAGGCAGGAGTTACCTCAATTCAACAAATGTCTCGCCCGTATCCCAATCAAAATATGATACTACAATAGAGACTGTGTTCGGGTCTGCTATAATATACTACGTTCGACCCAAGAAATGACTCCCTAGCAAGGCGTTTCCTGTTCTATGACCAGCTGTAGCACACACCACTGTCAAGCAAAATGCGGAAATAGAAGCAGAAGAAGTTATCCTTGGATCGGTATACTGTTGCACTCGAGGAGCATCGATCGATGTCCATTTGATTCTCGGCAAACATGAACGCCCGATCATGGACAGTAAGCAAGCATGATGTCAAAGTGATCGGAGGCAACCGCTCCCCCACTCGCGAGCAACTTGGTACTCAGTAGGCAATAATTCCGCCAGACAAAGTCCGAGCTTCGAGGTTTCGGCCGTTCATCGGCGCTCTAGGATCGATGGGGGTCATTTCATGCTGCCGGGAAATTTGGGGGCGAATGGGAGGAGGTCCAGGATTCGATACGCAGCGCCTCACTCGATCCTAGGGCAGTCCAACACGGGAAGTTTCGATCAAATTAGACGCTAGATTGGAGTCACTCCCCCTCAGCAGCTCAGCTCCCTGCCCAAGCCAGCAGCTTCGCAGCCTCGGCGTTGGTGGCGCTGTCAATACTCCTCTCATTTGCATCTGGACGTCATTCGCCGATAGAAGTTTTAGATATGACAGTAGCCGACGACTCCGTAGAGGTCGCGGGCATGTTGTCCCGCATAGATCCGGACTGTCGACTGAGATGGTGAATCAAGTTATCGAGTGCCCTTGCTCTGAAGCGAAATTATAAGACCGGTCTCGACCTGGGCCGGCTTTCATGAACTGGTTCCAGAGATTAGACCCAGCAACCGTGCAATGAAGAGTGATATCTCATGGAGATGACTACCGTGGTCCTTCCTCCAGCACTAACGGGACCCCCACATTAAGCTGTTTCATCCTCGGCGAGGCTTGCAGTGGAGTGGTTAGATATAGCCATTAATTTAGCTAGCTGAGTGATACAATTGGCGCTGCAAAGAGGTGATGGCCTGATCCTATCATGATCTGCAGGGCAGGCGCCTGACAATCAATGAAAAGTCGTCAATCAGTGGGAGGACACTGGCAGTTGAGCTCCAAGGACACAAAGACGCGGAAGGAATGCAATTGCAATTTCGGAACGATCGCTGGCAGCCCCAGAGGGTCCACCAACATGGAAGACCTGGTCAAAGTAGTGCGTTGAGTTCAAGGCCATGGGCAGTAATAGACTTCAACGGCCATGGCGAATGAGGGGTAATCCATTGCACAGTATCAATAAACGATGGTAATATCGCGCAGGATCTCGGTCTCAGTCGGATTAAGTTGGCTAGCCTCGATCCACGCAATCTGGATTACTGTCAATCAAACAACGGCATCGCACGGAGCGTTGCCGAGACGGCAAAAGAACATGAGGAGGGCCTTGGCAGCAAGTATGCGGAGTCCCGCTAGGTGACCAGGCAAGACATGTTTTGGCTGCTTGGTTGTTATTAAGTAGTGACCATTTCGCCCTGTCCCTCTTCCAAACTGAAGTAAGTAATCACGATTTACCCACCCGGCCATGCCCGGCTTGAACCATGATTCCATGAACCCTCGGTCAGAGATCGCGAAGGAGATGATGGAGATGATGACGGTTGGGCCCTTGGATTCCCACTCCACCAGCCTCTGTCCTGATTCTGAACCTGATTGCTACGGCCATCCGCGTAAGCTGATCATTTCTCGTCATTCTGTACCCTGGAAGTGCCCAAGTCGATACAATCGCGATCTTCCTGAAAGTCCGAGCTGGGACTACGATCGATCTTAGCCTGGCTTTTCGAGGCTTTTCGCCTCGGGGTGCCGTACGGTAGACCGTAAGCGTCGATCGGCCGCTTCCACCTACGTCGAAGGCACTGACGGCATGTAGATACTGTACTCCAGGATCCCTTCGATTGCATGTGTTGTGCAGCGGCCCCAGATTCTAGTGATTGGATGATAAGCATTGTAATAGAAAAATCAAGATCTCGCCGCATCGCGTGTTGACGCCTAGAGATCGAGTTGCAGGGTAAACCCCAGTTCGTCGCCAACCCAGCACAGCAGAATGCAGATGCGAGTCGTAGAGGCGAGATTACCATTACATCACTGCCACTGTACTCCATACGGAGGAGGGTGTCAATACGGGGCCGAACTGAGTCATGACCACGGGTTGTAGATTTGTACCCAATCTGATCCTTCGCCTCACGGGGGCGAGGAACCGGATGATGAGAGGCTTCAGCCTCATCCGCGGTGCATAAGAGGACCAGAGCAACAAGCCAAAGTAACCGCCAAATACAGGAGGCAAAGGGAGAGGCTGAGATGTTTCGTGCGGGCGCAGGCCATTGGTAGGGTTGAGCCTTAAAATTGAGAAACTTGAGACTATGAGTTGGGGCCCAGGGGGAGGTCGACGGCCGTCGGCAGCATGCCGGGCATTTGTTAGTGACGATCAGTGCTGCGAGCCAGGAATAGACTCTAGAGCGAGCATTATTAGCAGCGGTATCACTGTCGCCCGACGCCGACCCACAGGAACCCCATCGCCAATCTTGAAACTTTCAAGTCAAACGTCGCATAAGTTTGAACATGACGCCCCCGCCAGATTCAGCTCCTCCCTAATAAGGCCTGATCTTTTTTTCTTTTTTTTTTCAATTCATCTGTTTCTTCCTCCAGACCTCAGCAATGAGCATCAAGGACTCAGGAGTCGAGTCTCTGCGGGAGACGGTGATCAAACTCCCGTACCTTAGACGGACTTTTCCGTGGCTCAAAGCTTCGGACCTGAAACACGAGGAAAAGCGAGATTGGCGAATCGGGAAGCTGATTTCCGATCAGGACGCCTCCCGCAGTTCCTTAAGAACCTCCCCGAGGGTAACACGGCGGAGTTATATGCTGTGCGCTCTTGACCAAGGACTGAGATCTTAGCTCCAGCTGTCCACGGTGAAACGCTTACTTGCGATGCTGATGTGCTCTCCCGCAGGCGGACGAATTTTCCAAGCATATGCATCTTGATTACCGACCAGGAACACGAAGTTTGAACTGCCGCACAAAAGCCAGTTAGGGAACGCATGTTCTAGGCCCGGGACAGTTACCCACCGCCATTTAACACTTAATGTTCCTCAACCGTATGACATCACTAACAAGCGACGAGTCGACAACAGCTGGACCCGGGACTTCAAATTAGCTGGGACAATCCTAATCTTTACGTGCTCTCCATGATGCATCGAGCCCCGGGCTTCGCTATCGACATATGCGCGGGAAAGCAAAGTGCGAGGGTGGCCTCTTGGATAGGTAGAGCATTCTCGCGAATGATCTATCCGGCGGCGACTTGCTGCTCCACGGCTCTCACGAGCTTCGATCCTGCAGGCGTTACGTCGTGCCGGGTCGGACAATCCTGGTGTTTGCGTTCGCAAGATGCGGAACCTACACTTGAGGAGCTCGAAGTCGCCTCGGCGCACAGGTAAGCAGACAACCAGAGAGGGATCTCCATCCAGCGTCGATTGGTCGACTGCGGTGTGTCGGCGTACGTAGAATGCTAACACCCAAACCCACTGAGCCCCCTTTGCAAGTTGATACG